ACGGTACTATCAGGACTATGTATGTGTTTTTCGTTCGGGGCGTCGACCTCTGCGCGGGCCCACACGGATGCGATGTTCCCTACTCTGGCCGGTCCATTTCGATTCCTGCCCTCCATGTTTCCGGCTTTCCCGTAGACTTAGGTCGGGCCTGTCCCCCTACAGGGGATTTTTCGACGAACAATTAAAAAATATCCAAAAAACAATTAACAAAATACTCCAAAAATAGTCTGGGGACAATTTTTCAAATATTTTCTGATATTTTTGGTGCATGTTTGGGGTATTTGTCATTTTTCGTCGAAAATCGCCCTGTAGGGGGACACGCCCGACATAACCGTAGACTGAAAGCGTAGGTCTGGCGCGATGCGCCCGCCAACGCGAGGGGCCAACCCGCCGAGCCAACACGCAACGTGCCGACACGGAGGTGCTGCACCCGGCACGCGCTGACCTTCAGGACCGGCGCATCGGGGCAGCCACAGTGAGGAGGAGGGCAGCCGCTGCCTGAACTGCCTCGATGCGCAACACGCAGCACGTAGTGCATCGATACGAAGCTCAACACGTAGATCGAAAACGCAGGTATGAGGCGATATACGTTTGCCAAGACGTGGGCAAATACGCTGAACCGACACGGAACGTATACTGACACTGACGTTTCAAGCACGGTACGCGTTGCGTGTCAACACGGGCGTGGCGAGGCAGCTTAGGTCGGCTACACGTAAGAGTGACCCTGGGCAGGAGTGACCTCTGGTGCGCAACTCCTTGGGGGCCGCGGAGGGACCAGACCCGAGCGCGCAGGACGCCACCATCGCATCGCGCTCGGCGATAGGGGGGCCACCTTGGGCCCGCACCGCGGGCGTTGGTAGAACTGGGTTTAGTGGAACCTGGTCTAATGATCTGTACCGGGGGGCGCCCCCCCGTCCCAGTTCCACTAACCAGAACTGCCGTCACCCGAAAAAGCACCAGCTATGGCGAACCTGGTTTAGTGATTCTGGCCAATTTCGGGGCCACCGGACCCTACCACTGACAGGGTCCCCTTACCTGGGGTCCTGGCCATACCCGAGATAGGGGGGGCCACCTTGGGCCCGCGCCGAAGGCCACTCCGCCGAAGGGCCGCTCCTGCGAGGCGCCGAGGAGGCCGCTGCTCCTCCTGTGCCGCAGTCTGCTGGCCTTGAGGGGCTCAGGACCCGCCTCGCCCTGCACCGGCCCACCGTCGGCGGGCGGCCGGCCGCTCCGATCTCCGACCGAGACGCATGGGCCCCTGACACGGCCCTGTGCCCGACATCTCCTCGCGCCGTGGAGTCCCAAATTTATATGTATTTTTACACTTATGCAGCGCATTTCACTTGCTCGTTCACGTTTTGCTCGCCCTGCTTTCGCCGATTTCCGTACGAGAACTCCTATTTTCTCGTCGGACGGGCTCGTCGCTCCTCGGAGCTCCTCTCGGCGGCGCGCAGAGGAGGGATGCGGGGGGGGGAGGGCTTCTCAGAGGGAGGCTGCTTCTCAGAGGGCGGGGGCCCTACACACATCTGCAGCCAAGGCCCGCGCCTGCTAAGGAGCCTTCCCCTGCGCCCCTCTGCGCGCGGCCGATCTCGGCGCCCCCGCGCTTCTGAGAAGCCTCCCCGCGCGCTCGGCGGCTCTTCGGGGCTCTCTCTCTCTCGGCTCCGCAGGCCCTCCCCGCAGCTGCGCCCCGCCGAGAGCCACCGAGGGCTTGCGAGGAATCGAGAACTGCACAGCACACAAACCGACGACGCTCCCTCTGCCGGCCTCTGGACTGGGCGCTGGACCCTGCGGGCGGCGCCTCCGGCGCCTCCGGCGCCGTCCCCGACGCGCTCTCCGCGCGCCAGGGAAAGGGGGGGTTCAGCGCCGGACCAAGGAAACCGCGCGGATCTCCGAAACTGCTTGTCTGCGCAGCTTTTCCTCCCTCGAGGCAGGATGGGGGCATCCTGGCGCTCTTCCTCGGCGCCCTCGGCCCGCCCCTGACGGGAGGGGGGATGCTCCCCGAGATCACGGCGTGGCTTTTCTTCAGGCTGGGCGCTTTCGCCCGGTCTCGCCCCCCGACCAGCACACCTCGATCTGGCTCGAGAGCTGCCGCGGGCAGTTTGGGGCTGGGGCTCCAGTCGTGCTGCGCCGCGATGCTTCCGATGCTTTCGCAACGTCGGATCTCAGGGGGATAGGGGGGACGGTTTCAATGCGGGCAAGACTTGTGCCCAAATCCACAGCAATTTGGAGTCTCGGGCTCCCTTCCCCAGAACCGCGACGCGCACTGCATGGATATGGATAAGAACTTGGCCCCTACAGAAACTCGATGTTAGTCCATATCCAATGCTCCTCGGCCTTGCGGTGCCCCTTCCGAGAAAGTCCAAGACGCACTGGATATGGATATAAAAACTGCCCGCGTTCAATCCTGACGATTTTCTTCGATGTCGGTCCTCGGAAACCGTCATCGGGCCCTGAACGGGGTCATCCGAGGTGGATCCGGGACGAGACACGACCTCTCGGTGAAGAGGCGACGTAGTCGCCGAAAGCTCACAGCTCACCTGGGGCGCCTAAAAAAAACGAGCTGCCGAAATCCCAAGCTGGACATCGCCAATATTGTTGTGGACGACCTCCTCCTCGATTCCAGCCCTCGGGGGCCGCTGTCGCGCCCCGGGACCATCAGAGGTTGACCCGGGACGAAGAACGACCCCCGGAGAAGCAGTCGGCGCCCTCTCGGACCTCGCGCCGTGCACAACCGGACGGTTGAGCAGGGACGGACCGTCCTGGCAGTCCCACAGTCCTGCCGCGACATGCTCTTAGAACGAATGGATGTTCCGCGAGCGCCAACAATGTTCTTATAACGTATGGCCGATGCGTGAAAGCACGGCGGTCTCCGCCAGAACTGTTCCTAGAACACTGCGTGCAAACCACAAAAGGTTGATAGATCCTTCTTTGGTGGGCCCATTAGGCGAGCCAGGGCGCCTCGCCACTGCTGGTCCTCCTGTGCAATCGGACCCAACGTTTTCGGAGGCCCTTCGGCGCCCCGGCTGGGGACGGACGCGCCCTCGGGGACGAACATACCAGCCAGGAACATATCCCTATCCCTATGCTGGGCACCTCCTCATCACGATGCCAATCTTAGGGATTCCCTTATTTCTTGGGGGGGCGAATCCCTAAGATTGGCATCGCCTGTTGGCGTGACAATCTTGGGGACAGGGATACGTTCGAGGCTGGTAACGAACCCCAGCCCCGAGGAACGAGGATCGAGCCTGGACGCTCTCCGCCCTCCTGGGGCCTCCAGGGGAGCCCCTCGTCGCCACGGCCAGGTCCACCTTGCAATGCTGGCCGGGCATGCGCCCTGCGCCATGGCATCGGGCAGAGCGCTTTCGGGCGCCTCGGGCTGCCTGCCAGTAGCTGCGTGCAGTCGAGAGTCTTCAGGGGGCTCCCGGCAGCTCGCACAGCGTAGCCTGCACCGCATGGCCAGCACAGCACAGGTTGCACCACATAAACTTGCACCACAGACATTGGCCCACGTAGCTTGCACCACAGGACTTGCACAGGGTAGGCTGCACTGCATGAACCGCGCAGCCAAAATGCAATCACGCACTGTTTGGGGTCGAGCCTGGCACGGTTGCTGAATGTTGTTTCGTGTTTTTGGCTCTTGGGGGCCTCTGGAAGCCTTCCTGGACCTCTGGGAACCTATACCTATCGGGTCGGGCGAAAGGGGGGGATAGCAAAGGGGGGGTTTGAGAATCAGCTCGCGTAGCTGATTTTCCCGGCGCCTCCCGGCGCCGGAGGCGACCATGTATCGAGGAATGGGCCCCTCGGTGAGGCCGAAACCAGCTGCATGCAGCAAATTTCGTAACCCCCCCTTTCCCAATCCCCCCCTTTCGCCCGACCCGAACCTAGGGAGTCCTCCGCCCTCGTCATTTTCCCCCTCCTGGGGAGGGGGGACGGGGGCGGGGAGTGTCGACGACCCTTCTGTTCCTCCTCCTGCTGCTGCTACTGCTGCTCCTCCTCCCCATCTGGCACGAGTAGGAGACGGGGGAAGAGGCGAGGAGGACGGACGAGGACGACAACGAGAAGGGACAAAAAAAAAAGGAAACTCCAGCATCAGAACTAGCATATATATCCCAGAGGGCCGGTGCCCATCCAGCGCCAACAAAACATGCCTTGCGGCCGCCGCAGCCTGTTGCTCCATCTCCATCTACACCCTGCGAAATGCTTAAGAAATCATGGGTTAAGAAATTCATAGTCTCAGAAATGGACTAAAACCCAGAACTTCTCTCAAAATCTTGGGATTTACATTCAAAAGTCAAGAATAATCGAGACCCTGGCCGAAACTCTAGGTTTTCTTAAGCATCGCCTAAGGTGTATTCTCCTTCTCTTCCTCTCCTCTCCCTCCGAAGAAGGAGGAGGAGGTGGAGGAGGAGGAGGGGAGGAGGAGGAGGAGGAGGAGGAGAAGGAGGAGGTGGAAGGAGGGAGGAGGAGGGAGGAGGAGGAGGAGGGAGGGGAGGAGGGTGAGGGAGGAGGAGGAAAGTAGGGAGGATGATCAGGAGGGAGGAGGGGAGGGAAGGAGGGAGCAGGGAGGAGGGAGGAAGGCATCGAGCTTGAACCCGCGATCCGTCGCCAATGGATCGGCGACGGGCCCCCGATGGCGAATCCGCACATCCACCGGGCGGGGTGGAACTATCGGGCCCCCTGGCGATCCGTGGGCGCTGGACGGTCGCTGCGTCTCCTCCTTGCTTCCTTCCTCCCTCCCTTCCCTTCCCTTCCTTCCCTCCCTCCCTCCCTTCCTTCCTCCCTTCCTTCCTTCCTTCCTTCCTTCCTTCCCTTCCTTCCCTCCCTTCCTCCCTCCTTCCTTCCTTCTTCCTTCCTTCCCTTCCTTCCTTCCTTCCTTCCTTCCCTTCCTTCCCTCCCTTCCTCCCTTCCTCCCTTCCTTCCCTCCCTTCCTCCCTTCCTTCCCTTCCTTCCCTTCCTTCCTTCCTCCTTTCCTTCCTTCCTTCCTCGTCACGCCGCGCGCTCTCCTGGGACCGGTGGACGATGCGCACGATCTCCCGGCAGGCGGCCGCCTTCTGGTCGGCGCCTCGGGGGAGTTTCGTCCGCCTCGTGCTGCTCGCCCTCCCTCCTTTCCTCCCTCCGTTCCTCCCTCTCCTACGCCTGGTTCTCATCCTCCTCGTTTCCTCCTCCTCCTCCTCCTCCTCCTCCTCCGCCTCCGCCTCCGCCTCCTCCCCCTCGATTCCCTCTTCCTCCATTTCCCTCATCCCTGCTTCTCCCCGCCTCCTCCATCCCTTTCCGTCCTCACATCTTCCTCTTCCTTATAAGCCTTGCCTCCCCCTCTTCCCGCCATCCATCTTGGTGTCCGCATTGCCCACCCCCCCTTCCAACATCCCCCTTTATCCCGCCTCCCCCTTTCGTTCCCTTCCTTCCCTTCCTCCGTTCCTTCCTCCTACCTTTCGCCACCTCGAAGACTCCCTGGGCCACCATTCAAAAAACGAATGAAAATAGTTATCGGGAGGGGGAGGAAAGGGAAGGAAGAGGAGGAGGAAAAGGAGGAGGAGGAGGAGAAAGAAAAGGAGAAGGAGGATGAGGAAGTGGAGGAAGAAACGGAAGAGGAAACGGAGGAAGAGGACGAGGAGGAGGAGGAGGAGGAGGAGGAGGAGAGAACGAGTGAACGAGCCACCAACGCGGACAAATGTCCGGGCTGGCCTGGGACCTGATGGGGAGGCCGTGGCCTCCAGAAACCTAATCGATGAGCTACACGCAACCATGCAAATGAGCAGCGCGACAATCAAAACGTCATGACGGAAGCGGGGGAGGAGAGGGGGGGGGGGGAAGTCCTCGATGTGGAAGTCGGCGTTCTGTCGTTACGTGGTGTGTATGTATTGCCGTTCGAATGTCGACCAAATGGAGATGTCTTGAGCCGTGCGGATCCAAGTAATGTCGTTCGGCTGGCCTGTTGTAGTCGGCGTGGCCGTTGGATGTTGGTCGGGGCTGCTTTGCTGGAGGGACTTGACGATGTCGTCTTCCCTTCGCTTGCGCTGTCTGCCGTGCTGTCGCTGTCCGCGTTGGCGTGGGTTCTCTGCCGGTTGCTAGTGGAATGTGCGCCACGTCCATCTTGTAGGGTCATGGTTAGCGACCCTTGACGCCATGCGCCACGATCTCTGTCTGCGAATCCTTTCCCACTTTGCGACTTGGTAGTGCTGCATAAACTGTTCAGCACGCCGTGCTAAGCGCTGAATGTACTCAACCCAGGGTTCCAGCATGTTCTCGTTGTCGTCGTCGTTGCTCTCGCTGTGCTGGTCTGTCGCTTTCTGCTGCGCTGTGTGGCTGTCTGCGTCGTCGCCGCTGTCGGTTGGGTTGGGAGCGTCGTCGGATGCTTCTTTGGTCGTGCCGTCGCCTGTGCCGCCGTGGTCGTTGTGAAGGGTTGTGTTGTGAGTGATTCGTCGCGGAACATGCGTCGTTGCGTTCGTCGCAGGTGTTGCCGGGGAGGCTCCGTGAGCGCCCAGGTCTCAGCTCCGTCGAGAGCCGTCGGCGCGACTGTGCTACCAAAGAGTCGAAGCCTGCGCCAGCGGGCAGTGCTTACTGGTCAGCTCCTGTCTGTGGGCTGTGAATGATGCCCATGCGGCCCCCGTTCGGTGGAACATATCTGTCTCCATCGCGTCGTGGAAGCCGATGAGATGACCGAGATATTTAGTACTGCCCACGTGCGGCACGATGTCGATGTCCATGCCCTCTACGCGCGCCGTGCGCGAGCTCGCCCTGCCGGTCCGTCTCGTCTGGTTGCTCATGACCTTGGTTTTGGACGAGTGCAGCTCGAGTCCGTGCGGCTTTGCTGCGCGCACTACGTCTTCCAGCATCGTCGTGAGGCGCGGAAGAGTCTGGCTGGTCAGGAGCACGTCGTCGGCGAAGCGAAGGTTGGTGAGCGTGGTGGCGGTGGTAAGCCCCAGCTGAACGCCCTTGCCTTTTTTTCTGCTATTCGGTGATCAGCGGTTCGAGAATGTGCTGCAGAAGAGCATAAAAAAACGAGTGAACTGAGCGGGTCCCCTTGTTTGGTGCCCCGTGAAAGGTTGAAGGGCCGGCTGCTCACGTCCGTCTTGACCGTGGCTTTCTGTCCTCGCACAGCTGCTGGAGTAGATAGATGCATCCTGGCTGGACACCTTGCGCCTTCAGTGCTGCCCAGATACTATCGTGTTCGACTGTGTCGAAAGCCTCTTTAAAGCCGAGCGCTGCGACCCACAAGTTATGGTTCCATTCGTGCGCACGCTCTCGAAGAATGTGGAATGTTACGAGGTGGTCGGTGGTCGAATGTCCTGGTCTGAAGCCTGCTTGGTCAGCTGCCTGTCGAGAGTCGAGCGTTGGTTTGAGTCGGGCGTAAAGTAGCCTGCTGAAGAGATTGTAAAGCAGCGGTATCGTGCATATAGGGCGGTAGTTTTGAGGAGGTGGGAGATCCCAACTTTTTGGAATTACCGTGACGACTGTGCTCTCCCAGCTGGCCGGTGGTGGGGAATTGGATTGCAGGATCGTGCTGTAGGTGGAGCAATGCCTCTTTGAGCTCTTCCGCGCCGTCTTTCAGCATCTCTGCTCGGAGGCCTTTCGTGTCTGGGGCTTTGCCGAGGCGAAACCCTCTGATTGCTTTGTCCAACTCCGTTCTTGTGACAGGCGGGAGGTCGTTGTCAGGTCTTTCCTGTTGCGCCGGCTCCGCCGTTGAATCGTTACGAGGCTCGTAACATTCTACGAAAACGACCGCAATGTCTTTTCTTGTCGTGCGTGTGGCGCCGTCTTTGTCTGTCATGTGCGTGATGGGCGTCCGCCTTCTGCGTGTTTTGATGCGCGTGGTACTCCTCAAGTTACTGAACTTGTCAATCACGTAGCTTATATGAGATCGTCGTGTCCTTTGCTCTTGCGCTCGGATCTTCTGCTGTATAAGTTTGCTCTGGTGCTTTCGATTTTGGTAGTCGTTGTTTGGTGTCTGGTGGCGCTGCTCTAGTAGAGAGTGCAGTCCTTCCTCTCCTCTGTCGGGCGGGAGGTCTCGTCGCGGCTCCCCAGCTGTGCTGGCTGCGACGGCGGCTTCGAGGATAACATTTTGGATGTGGTCCTTCAATGCTTGTGGGTCGGTTGGTAACTCCTTTGGGTGTAGTCGTGGACGCTGGTGCTCGCGGTAGGCGCTAGTGTCGGTGATTTGTCTTGTCGGTCTGAGTGTTGGATGTGGGTGCTGTCGTCGTGTGTCGTCGTTCCGTGGCTGTTTCGTCACCATGGATTCTTGCACCGTCAAGTCGATGAGAACAGCCTTGTGGCCGGATCTAGGTCGGACGTGTTATTGGTCTCAGCGTTCGTGCAGTGTCGGAAGAACTTGCGGTTGAGCAATCTGTAATCGAGTTGCTTCTCATTGTTGCCGCTGTTGTACATTATCTGCTTGCGCGCTGGCTTGCGAAAGGTGTTCGCGATTACAAGCCCTTCCTGTGCGGCACAATGTCGTAACCATGTACCTCTCGAGTTTTCGTTCCCATTACCGTGGCGACCAACGCATCTTGAAGTGATGCGGTCGTCGTCGGCGTCGTTGTCGTCTTTGTCGCCGTCCTCGGGCACGTTGGATGTCCCAACCTTCGCGTTCAAGTTGCCGGCGGGAATGAAGTCACGCCGCGCTGTGATGCTCTATCTCTGTCTCTCTCTCTCTCTGTGGATCTCGTGGATGGCGTCGTACATGCGCTGAACGTGCACGCCGATGTAACCAGAATGTGGGAAGCATGCCGACACCAATTGTAGTTTCAGCCGTCCCCTCTGCAATAACATTGTGGCGAATCTCGGCGAAAGTGCTTGAAATTTCTGTATATGTTTCCCCCCAACGCTTGTGTACCAATATCGCACCCCCATGGCATGCTTGGTCGTTGCCAGATCCTGCGAAAGTGCGTCCCTCCGTGGTTGTCCATAGCTCCGTCGCCGTTGTTCTCCACGTCTCGTTGATGAGTACGAAATCCCAGTGTGCACTGTCAAGCTCAGCGATCAGCTCTTGAATTCGGTCGCACGACCTTCATGACTCTGGAGGGGAGGGGCCCGGAGGGAGAGGGGGGGAGAAGGGAGGGGCAGGGGAGGGAAGGGACAGCCGTATGAGCTCCTTCAGTTGGTCGATGGGGTCGGTGCGGCTGGTGGGTGGGGTCGCTGCTGCTAATAGGGGCTGCTGCTACTTACTGGCCGGCGTCATTCAGTGAAGTGTGCTAATTGGGTGAGGTCATCGCTGCTTGCGAATGTGCTGCTGGTCGGTGCTGGTCGGTCGCACGTGGCGCTGGGAAATGCTGGTCGGGTGGAGTCGTTGCTGCTTGGGGTGGTGCTGTCTGTCGGTGCTGGTCGATGGTGGGTGGTTGCTGCTGGTCGGGTGGAGTCGGTGTTGCCTGTGGTGGTGCTGCTGGTCGACGGTGGTCGGTGTCGGCTGCTGTCTGGCGGTGTTGCTCGATTGGAGTCGATGCTGCTTGTGGTGCTGCTGGTCGGTGGTCGGCGTCGGTCGGCGGAATGCGCTGGTCGGGTGGGGTCGGCGCTGTTTGCTGTGGAGCTGCTGGTCGGTGTTGGTCGTCGGCGGGTGGCACGGGGATATGCTGGTCGATTGGAGTCGGTGCTGCCTGCGGTGGTGTTGCTGGTCGGTGCTGGTCGATGGTGGGTGGTTGTTGGTCGGGTGGAGTCGGTGCTGCGTGTGGTGGTGTTGCTGGTCGACGGTGGTCGGTGGCGGCTGCTGTCTGTCGTTTTTGGTCGGTTGAGGTTGGTGTTGCTGGTGGTGCTGCTGGTCGGTAGTTTGCGCTGGTTGATTGGGCGTGCTGGTCGGGTTGGGTCGGCGCTGTTTGTGGTGCTGCGTGGTCGGCGTTGGACGGTGGTGTGTGCTGGTTGAATGAGGTCAGCGCTGCTTGCGGTGGTGTTGCTGCACGGTGTTGGTGCTGTGTCTGTTGGTTGCTGGCTGTCACTGCCCATGGTGGTGCTGATCGCCGGAAAATGCACGCTGGTACGACGCCGCTTACGTGCACAAAGTCCTTTCTGCCGCCTCCGGTGCTGAACGTTGGAGTCATGGTCGCACTGGGCCGCGAAGCCGGGGTCGACGCTGCCTATCCTGACTGGGAGGTTCCTGTAGGAGGGGGGTAAAAAGTTAAATTGTCGCTCGAATTCAGGAGAAATCTGGCCTTCGAATGCCCATCTGGATGAATTCTGAGGGGGTGGTGAAACGCAGAACTGTGTATTAGGGCGCGCTGGATTTGCGTGCCTGGCGGCCGTCCTTGTCACAGGTCGCTGTCCGTGGTCGGGTCCGCGTTGATCCTGTCCTTCCACACCTGGATGGAATCCTGCACCTGTTGTTCAACGCTTTGGGCTGCTGCCGTGGTGGTCGAAATCTCTTCTTTACTGAACCACGCAATTTTCTGGCTTCCGAAGATGACTATCTTCTTGGACAACAAAATCTGGATGTCGATGTCTTTGTTCTTGTAGTCGGCGTGATCGCTGAGGTGGTGTTTGGTGTAGCCTAGATGCTTATCCTGCTCCTTTTCCTTCGGCGTCAAATTGCTCTTGATAACCTTGCCTTTATCATTGGGTCGTCCTTGTGGTTGCGGCATTTCTTGTAAAATTCCACTTTGGCAGGGATCGAAGGGAAGCTGATGATGCCCATCTTGGCCTGGTCGGTTCGGGTAAATACTTTCGCGGCGTGGCCATCACCAAGTACTTTAACTAGTATGCCCTCGATCTCATGTATGATCTTGTATGCTGCTCGACTCTCATGAAATCCAAATACCATGATTTTCTTCGTGCGTTCCTCCGTGTCGGCGTGTCCGATGGTAGGGATGACCCGGTGTTGCTTGTTCTCCATGGCGTTGATCTTCGTGTCCATGATGTCGACGCGCTGGTTGGTCTTTTTGAAGTCGTGTTCCACTCCTGCGATGCCAGGCTGTGCAGCATATGCTGTTGGGCTGCTGTTGCCGAAGCTCGGGCTTCCTGAGCGATCTTGAAGCTTTCGTCGGCCTTGGTCGTCAACCCCCCATCAACTCCTTGAGCTCGCTGAACATCTGCTCAACGCGGTCCGGCGCGGGATCAACTTTCTGGTGTTTCTGGTTGTCAGGGGCGGATCCGGGTCCGCCCTTGTGCTTGCAGGGGGGCACCATCGTAGTCTGCGAGTGGTAGGCAGAAAGGAAATGAAGTAGAGAGAAGTGAGGAGAAGAAACTTCAATAGAGGAGGAGAGGGAATCACTCGAAGATTATTCCAAGCCGGCTGTGCCGAAAAGCTACCTCTGCTACCCAGGGGTGCACGAGTCGAGAGGGGTGCACGAATCGAGTGGCAGCCCTTCAGAGATACGCTGGGGGATCCGTTGACAATTCTTGCAATCTTGACCCTGGTCCCGGATGTGGCCATTTCCCTCCCGCGTGTCAGCATGCAATAAGCCAAAACGTGGGACTCGTGCGATTAAGACAAAAAGTTTCCCTGATCGGGCGAATCTCGCGGGGCGGCGCCCGCCAAATTGAAAAACGCAGCGCGGCGGTGCCGGTGACTAGCGCCGACGCCCGGGCCGCCAGCGAGAAGGGGACAGGAGCAGCACGGACCGGGGGACGGGGGGGGCAGGATGCAAGGACAGCAGGGGCAGGGGCCGTCGGCGCCGCGACCGCCGCGCTGTTTCCCCTATTTCTGCAATCGAACGGAGCTCCCATCGCCCGCGATGGAAGGAGGCCCTGAATAGGGACCCCCCAAAGGACGTACGCGCCCAGCTATGTACATGAACACGGCCCCTTGACTCGCGAGACCTGCCGCGTGATACGAACATTCGTGCAATGCGAACTCTCGAAAACAGCGTGGATTCATGTACGTGTACGTCCTTCTTTCGCTCCTGACTGAAGGAAGCGGGCCCAGAACCGTTCTTGGAGTTCCCGCCAGGATCGGCTCGGTCGTTCTTCGGTTGCCTCGGGGGCCGCCGACGGCCTGTGGACACGAAGGCGGGACAAAAACCTGCCAAGGTTCGCTTCCCGCAGGACACGCGTCCACCGCGGCGCCCCGCAGCGAGCCCAAAAAGGCGAGGCAACCAGGCGCAAAGCGACGCTCGGCGGGCCCGATAAGGGCGTGGGAAAAATGGGCATGACGTCCACAAGCAAATGTGGTCCGACACCGACAGCGGCCGCTGCTGGGCACTGGACTCGTTGCATCGAACTGCCAACGTCCGCGGCAACACCCACAAGATGCGAAACTGCTGCAGGTGTGTCCCCGCACATTCCGTGCCCATTCCGACCACACCGGAAAACTGCCTTTGCTTGGGCGCTGCTCCCCAGCGCGAGGCGAGGGCGTTGGCCGAGGCTTCCTCTCTTCCTCCTCCTCCTACTCGTCCTCCTTGTTCTCCTCCTCGCACTTTTCCTCCAATTCCTCCCGCTGCCCCCCCTCCTCTTCCTCCCACCTCCTCCTGCTGCTCCCCCTTCTCTTCCTCCCGTCTCCTCCTTGCCCTGCTCCGCTTTCTCCTCCATCGCGCAAATCCCAGACCCCCGACGTAATGATTTTTTCATTACGTCGACCCCCGTAGGTCCCGACCCTTTCTCCATGACCGGCTTTGCATCCTGAGTCGTTTTTTGACACTCCCGAAGCCCGGTGAGGGCCCCCCGAGGCCGAAAATTAGGAAAAACCTCCCGTCATGATTTTTTCATTACTCGAGGGGGTCTGGGATTGCCGTCTCTCCCGTCCGACTCCCGGCTGCCCCCGAAGGCCATCGCCCTCCCGACCTGCCGCCAGCCCCCCGACGGGCGGCGCCCCCCGAGATCGTGACCACGCGGTCCGTCAGCGCCGCGGGCGTGTCCCCCTCCCCGGAGACGGTCACGTGGGCGCTGGTCTCCCGGTAGATCTTCCGGGGGGGGGGCGGGGGAGCGCCCCCCTCTCCACCCAGACCCCCGACGTAATGATTTTTTCCTTACGTCGACCCCCGTATAGGTCCCGACCCTTTCTCCATGACCGGGCTCTGCATCCCGAGTCGTTTTGTTGCCACTCCCGAGGCCCGGCGAGGGCCCCCCGAGGCCGAAAATTAGGAAAAACCTCCCGCCATGATTTTTTCATTACTCGAGGGGGTCTGGGCACGAGGCACCAGCGGAGGGGGGGGGGAACTGGGGGGGGGTCGAGAGTCGGAAGGACACGATGGATGTTCCATGCTTGCTCGCCCACTTGAAACCTCCAGAATGCTCCTCGTCGCCACGGCGGGAAGCGCCTAGAGATAGTGTTAACTTGGGCGTAGCGCCTAGAGATAGTGTTAACTTGGGCGTGTCCCCCTACAGGGGGATTTTCTACGAAAAATGATAAATACCCCCCCCGCAAAAAAAAACAAAAAAATCCAAAAATAATCTGGGGACTAGTTTTTGAATATTTGTTTACCTTGTTGGGGTATGTTTGGGGTATGTTTTATTTTTCGTCGGAGATCCCCCTGTAGGGGGACACGCCCGACTCACAGTTAGTGGCCAACACGCTCTCCAGAACAGGTCTGGGGAGAGCTTCTAAACTCCTGGGCCCAGAGCTCCTCGCGCCGTGAAGATATATAACCGCGGAGCGCTTCTGGCACGTGTCTGCCTCCACGGGCCCTCGGCAGGCCCCAGGCCGACCGCGTGATGAAAAGCCGGTCCCCCGGGAAGGGGTATGCGCAGGTCGGGCATGTCCTCCTGTAGGCGGGCTTTGGAAGACAGATGTTTTTGTTTATCGAACAAAAAGTACACCGCGTTGAAACAATCACGGCGTCGAAAGCCGGGGCGGGCAGACTGAAGCTCGACGTAGGCAGATTTCAAGCTTCAGGATCTCCTATGTTGAGGAAATCTCCGGCGAAACGCCTGGCCCAACCTGCCGACTCTTCAGGGGGGCAGGACAGGGAGGAGCTACACATCAGGAAAGGAATGGAATGGAGGAGGAGGAGGAGGATGAGGAGGAGGAGGAGGAGGAGGAGGAGGAGAAGGAGGAGGAGGAAGAGGAGGAGGAGGAGGAGAGGAGGGGAGGAGGGGGGGGAGGAGGAGGAGGGAGGAGGAGGAGGAGGAGGAGGAGGCGGAGGAGGAGGAGGAGGAGAGAGAAGGACGAAGCCCCCTCCCTGGCGTGGGCTGGGAGCAGATCCGCATCCACGGCCTCGCGGCCTGGGCACATCGGCCAAGGCCCCGCGGGTGCAGGCGGCTCTGGCGCGGATCAAATGGGGCCGCGCCTCGGTGCCCAGACCACGAGAGGGCAGAGGTGTCCGTCGCTCGCGGGAGGGCTCTGAGGAAGCGGTCCGCCCTCCTTAGAGGAGGAGGAGAGGAGGAGGAGGAGGGGAGGAGGAGGAGGAGGAGGAGGAATGCCGGGTGAGGTCTGAGGGAAAGTATTTTCTCCGCTGCCCGCGACGAGGTGCGAGCAGCTGTAGGAGGCGGGCGGCGCGTGGCTCCACAAGGAGGGCCATATATTGTGAAAGCGGCGTGCCGTGCACCCCGGCAGCTGTGGAAATGTTTGAAACAAATATGCGCGCAACGCTCGGGCGAGAGCCGCGAGCTGGAAGCGGCCTTCCCTGCATCGATACAGCTGCTGGCATAAGTTGGCGCGATGTTCGCGGCGCGCAGCCGATAATAACACTTTGAAGAACCGACCTTCATCGGGTTAACTGTTGGGATAAATATATATATATGTATGTATAACATTGACGCTGTGGGACTCTGGAACGACAGCTACATTGTGAAAACGGGATTCCCGAAATCAGGGTGGCTGGTATTTCTGTTACAGACGACTGTGGGCAGCGCTAAGACACCAGGCGACAAAGGGCCGCATTCCACTGCTATGTTTGCTGTGGTGTTTAAACACGGATGCGTGGACGGCTGTACAGCGAGAGCAGCACTTTGAAAACAGACCGCCCTCGATCCATGCAGCTGCCGGCAATGTCAAACTTTACAAGCACAAGTGGACAATAAGTCGCTAGCGAACTGCCTGGACCGCCCTACCGATACGTCTGATGGTGAGAGGACGCCACACCAAATACGCCAAATAGGGCTTCCCCATCCAGGGCCGCAGCCAAATACCAAATACGCCACCCCTCGGGTAAAGCCCCGCGGGGCCCCAGGAATAAAAATCAGTGCCCCAAGCGCCTGTATGAAACCTCCTCGTTGCCTCCGTCGTCGCAGCTGCTGCCGCCTGGCCACCAAAACCTGCTCCACATCGGTCCATGGACCCCTCCCTTGGGGTCATCCTGCACAGTTGTTCGCGCTGCGTCCAGACGCGAGGACGAGAACCCCCAGAAACGTCAGAAGACTCCGAAGCGAAGACGCCGCCGCCGCCGTCGCCGTCGTCGCAAGCGTCGTCGTCTGCGTAGCCGTCGTTCCCAAGCATCCGGCGGTTCGCCTCCTTTCCCAAAGCCAGCGTTGCATCCCGAGTCAAATGCCAACGGCCCCGGGGCCCGAAACCAGCCGACGGAGGCCAAAGATGGCGAGAACCCTGACCTTCCCCCGTGCTAAAAAGTAGCGCTCCAGACCTACAGACTTATCTTGACTGCTTCAAACATCCACAGGAATTTCGACGTCGAGGTCCTGGCGCTATTGTCTAGCTCTCCTGGAGAGTCAAGACAGTCAAGGAGGCTCAGCCGCCGGAGGCCGAAGGCGGCGAGAAGTTGGCCGTCCCGAGTTGCTTCGCGAGGCGCCGGATCGGAGAGCGGCCCCCAGGATCCACAGAGCCCCAAGGGGGATCCAGCCGCGGCGACGAAGAGGGCCACCAGGAAGGCCCAGAAGGCCCTACACTCCTCGATCCTCGAGGGGGGTCGTCGTCGAGGACGCCGCTGTCCCGAGATATATATTTTTGGGGGGGGTCAGCGGGTCGAGAGCGGGCCTCTTCCGGTTAAGAGCTAGGCGGGGCGCGCAAAGCACTAATTGGGGAGACAGGGCGCGGGCGGGCGGGGCCTCAGGCGGCCCGAGGGCCGCTGTCCCGAGACAGCCGACGGCAGGCTTGTCTCGCGGCGTGGCGCCCCAGATGCCTGAACCCCTCTTCGGCGGCGAGCCCGGGGGGGAAGGCGAGCAGGAGGAGGCCCACTCAGAAGGCGGCGGGGCTTCTCAGAAGCCCTCCGGCCATCTGAGAGGATTTCCGCTCCTCCTCCTCCTCCTCCTCCTCCTCCTCCTCCTCCTCCTCCTCCTGCTGGATGGCTTAGAGCACTTCTCGCAAGGCTGGAGGACTTCCGAGCCTTCTGAAAGGGCCCTTCCCCTCTCACTCGCCCCGAGGCGGGCCACCGGCCCTCACTGGGGGCCGCAACTTCATCCCGAGCCAGAAATTGCCCCAAATCAGCCGCACATACAGGGCAGTTTTTAATGCATCGGATTTTTAGACATATGCGATTTTAATACATGACCAATGTATGAATCAATGTATTTATGAACTCATCGTGGTTTTTAATATTACATCCCTGCATTTTTAACGTAAGATCCGCACGCGGAGCATGTATAAAAAAGGCACTGTATTTGCTCAGTACGCGAGGATGTCAGGAAAACCCCACAAGACGCAGAAATCTGCATTCTCGATGGGATCTTCGTCGCCGTGGCCGCCGCCACCGTCGTCTGCGCAAGAACGGCAAACATCGAATCGACACAACGGATCGGATCGGAACGCGTGTATCGTCGGCGCGGGGTCCGATTCCGAGCCGCGGGTGCCTACGGAAAAATGCACACGATGCCTAGCAGCAACTGTTGTCCAAAACGGACAGCGGCCGCTGTTGGGCAAGCGACTGTCTGCCCCAAAAAGACAACGTTCGCGGCAGCACCGACAGCAATCCCTTTCGAAATTGGGCAAGAACTGCTGTCGGTCTTGGCCCCCCCCATTCTTTCCGTATCTGGCCCAATCGCGATGGACAACGGCGGCGTACCTGAGATCCGAGGTTGCACGAAAGTTGCATTAAGTCGGGCGTGTCCCCCTACAGGGGGATGTTCATCGGGAGCGGCCAAGAGGGGGGTGTCCAAGAGGGGGGGGTGCAAATCATGACCGGCGGCACGTGCGCGGCCCAGCGGGGGGGCCGGGGCCGTAATGAAATAAGAAGGCGCGCCGTGAAATCTGGGAAAATATCATGGCCCCCGCCATGAAATCCACCCCCCCCTAGTCATCACCCCCCTCTTTTCCGCCCCCGACGAGAGGACGCGAACCCACCGAACAGCGGCGCCATGTGCCCACTGGGCCCGCCGACGTCGGCACATCGTCGTGCGCCGCCGCCGCGGCCCGGCCTGCCGCAGCCCGGAGCCGCCGGGGCCGATCACGAGGCCCGCCGCCTCGCGCGGCACCAGGCAGCAGCACGCCACCTCGCGCCGGTCGCGGAGGCACCGAGGAGAACCGAGGAGGATCGGGGATTTGGACACCCGAAATGGGTACCGAAAGAATGGGTACAATGCCCGACAACAAATGTTGTCCCAAACCAACAGCGGCCGCTGTTGGGCAGGCGGCCTTCTGTCTGGAATGGACACAGGCCGCGGCGGCGCGGACAGCGAGCCCTGTTCAAAATGAACAGGAACTGCTGTTGGGCATCGTGCCCATTCTTTCCGTACCCATTTCGGGCGTCCAGAATCGGGGAGGGCCGAGGAGGATTGATGTTCGAGGCCGGAGGTCCCACGAGGAAACGGAAGAGAAGGAGGAGGGCTGGGAGGACAGTGGTGGTGATGATGTGATGGTGAGTGATGCTGCTGCTGCTGATGGTGGTGGCGATGGTGATGACGATGAAAGCGGTTATGACGATGATGCCAATGCTGATGGCATTGAGGATGACGGTGGTGATGATGATGACGATGCTGCTGATGCTGATGTTGGTGGTGATCATGACGATGATGACGATGATGCCGACGCCGATGCCGATGGTGATGATGATGCTGCTGGTGATGATGGTGATCCCCACGTCTGAAAGGGTCAGGAGCTCCTAGCTCGTACTGCCCCTCGGACCGAGGCCTTTCCCTTTGGCCCTGCGGCGGCAACGCTCGGTCTCGTGCCCAAGGCACCCTCGTATATTCACCTGAGTTACCAAGAAGCCGCCCACCGCCTCGGCCGAAGCAAGCGGTTGACACGGCATCCGAACAGTCACGGCGACTCAGCCCACAACGGCGGCACGCACGCGCCAGCAGGGCAACATAGTCCTCTTGTGGCTCATGGCCCAGGGCGGACCCCGTTGCTCTGCCGAGGCGTGCGGAGGCGATCCCGAGGATCGGAACAAGCACCTACGCCAACGGTTCTGCCTCCGCGAGCGGTGCGAACAGCAGTGCCATCGAGCGGGCTGGTACGCAGCTAGCGCTGCAAACCTGAGAGAACTGCAGGCAGGTGCACAGCCCGAGCCTAGCGGCATCGAGCGAACGTCGGAAGAGCAACGCAGTCCAAGGCCCACGGCCACACAGACACTGTAGCTCATCCAATGCCTGCGGAGTTCGATCCTGAGCGTCAGTATTCACCTACGCCCACGGTACGCTCTCCGCTTGTCAGACTCGGAAGCGCGGACAAGCAGCGAAACAAATACAAAGCGAGCCCTTTATAGGCCCCCACAGCGGTTCATTGCCATCGAAGGAAGTGCCTCTTTGGAAGACAGCCATTTGGAGATCCTGAAGCACGCCAAAACATTGCTTCCGGGATTCCAACGCCAAGGATTTACCTGACTGTTGCGTCTTGACAATTCCGAGTCGTGCCAGAACACCACTGGGACTTCAACAGAGCGAACCAAAATAACTGTTGCACCCGCATAATCCGGAATCCTTTCACCACACCATTTCTGGCACGTTGCTGATGGGAATCAGAGAAGGCTCTTGCAAACTTTGTAAAGGAATGTACGCGGCGCTAAAGCGAGAACCACATTTAAAAAAGACCACCCTCAGTCCGTGAAGCTCTTGTACATGTGTAAAACGAATGAGCGCCGCGCTAAAGCGAGAACCACATTTTGCAATTCACCGGCCCTTATCCGTGAAACCCTTGCAATTTTGTTAAATCGCATGTGCGCCGCGCTACAGCGAGAGCCACATTTTGACAACGTCCTGGTCTCAATCCGTGAAGCTCTTGCCAATGTCTAAGACGAGTGTGCGCCGCGCTAAGGCGAGAACCACATTTTGAAAACCACCCGCCCTCAATCCGTGGAGCTCTTGCAATTGTTTGAACGAGTGTGCGCAGCGCTAAGGCGAGAGTTCCATTTTGAAAACGGCTCGCTCTCCATCTGCGAGGCTGTTGCCAAGTTTTAGGCTTCAGAGCCATAAGCGGTGACGAAGTCTCGGGCGGGACGCCCAGCCCTCGGGGTGCGACAGGGAGAAGCTCGTTCTGAGGCTAGGAAGTGGAGGAGGAGAGGGGGGGCGGGAGAAGGAAGGAAGAGGACCTCCCCCCCTCCTCCCCGCACCCCGCCCCTACCCCCCCCCCGTCGCTTGGGGGGGCGCCTCGCTCGCACCCGCGGCACGCCCCGGGGTGGCGCTCCTCCCGCCCAGGGGGGGGGGGAGAGGCGGTGCGGCGCAGGCGTGAGAGCAGCCACGGCCGTCGGAGCCCGGCGGCAGGCACCACGGAGCGTGGCGGGAGAGGGGAGCTGCTCGTCCGTTTTCGCCCTCCTCGTGCTCCTCGTCGCCCTGCTCCTGTGCCTGCTGCCTCCTCCTGCCGCCTCATCTCTCCCTCCTCCTCCCCCTTCCAGGGTCCGCCTCCGCTCACGCCTCCGCCTCTGACTCCGCCTTCTCCTCAGCCTGCGATGGCAAGTGAGCTACAGGAAGATATTACGAAAGTAGTGAAAAACGTACCGGTAAACAAACAAACACGTGTATACAATAGTGTGCTTATGTTTGGCACTAATACAACGGTAAACGCACACGAGCCAACTTTACCGCGTGGCAGCTACCGTGAAGCAGAAGAGGATAAACAACTAGTCCAATACTCAGCTTGTGTGGGACCCCCATCTAACCCCCCTCCTCCCTCTCATCTTCCTCCACTCCTCGTTCTCATTGTTATTACTCCTCCCCTCCTCCCATTATCATCCTCATCGTCATTGCCATGTTCCCCTCCTCCCCAATCGCCACTGGCCGCCCGACCTTTGAACGCGCGATCGTTTTTCCAGCGTGTGTGTCGTCATCTGCCTCCGCCCCCCCCCCCACTTTCTTTGTATTCACCGCCTCGCTGCCTTGGGCGATGGGTGATCGTTGTGAAAGTGGGCGTTGGAGGCGCTCGAGGGCGCTGCGAGGGACGGCGAGGCGAGGAGCCTGTGCTGCGCCCTGGATAGAGGGCCCAAGGATCAACCAAAACGATCCCTAGAGGCTCTCCCTTGAGGTGTTCAAATGTGGACCCCTGCTCGTATGGGGGCTCCGTCGATGGCTCTAGTGACCATGTTCGCATAAGGGGTCCTCCCCATACCTGCACACCCCTCGCACGTTTCGTGGCCCCGACGGGAGCTCCACCGAGGGCCCGAATCGCAACGTTCGCATGAAGGGTCCACGTCAATTTCGGCACGCCCCTCCCACGTGCCGCTGCCACGTAATTAGTGGCTGGCACACCCAATTGCTCTAAACAAGATAGGTCTAGGTCACCACCAGGGCACCCTTGACTTGGACGGGTCAAACTCGCCTATACCGAGTCCCTGCCCCTGCTCTTTCCAAGACATCCGACGTCGCGAGGTTTGTCAGAGCGGCTCCCCAGAAGTCTGGACCCCTTCCTGGGGATCATTTCCCAATCAGTGCTTGCACTGAAGGGGTCCTAGCGGAAGTTGAAAGATTTGTCGAAAATTCCCCTCCGATTTTGGTGGCTAGCGGGGTTCCCGGGTTCCCGGTTCCGGGTTCCCGGGTTCCTGGTGATTGGTTCCGGGCCGATTTCGGTGCTGAGTTCTGGGTTCCCGGGCTCCCGAGTTTCCGGTCGATCTCCTCAGCGACGACCTGATTTTTTCAGGACGGCGTCCCCAAAGTCCCGACCCGTTCCCCGGGACCGGTTTTTCATCCTGAGTCGTTTTTTGACGGTCCCGAGGCCCGGCGAGGGCCACGAGGCCGAAAACGGCCGAAAACCCGCCGTCCTGATTCTTTACGACGCGATCATGTCTGGGAGCCATCCACTGATTGGGTTTTTCCTCTGGTGCAAATGTTTTCTGTCCAGAGTCTGCCAAACGTTGCCCAAAACCCTCCCAACGATCCTCGCCACGACGCGAGGCGACGCGAGGGTGGTCAATCTTCGGCGGCCGCCCGGACGATCTGGGCCCCATGTGTTCAGGACACGACTATGTCTGAACGATCTTCGGCGGCCGCCCAGGCTGCCTTGTCGCCCCATGTGCTCAGGACGCGACTATGTCTGAACCCAGGGATCCAATATCGACCTCCGCACATGTTCCAGGTTGTGTTCTTCGGCGGTGGACAAACCTCCCTTTAGTGGACCTCCCCTTAGTGACAACGGCCTGGGACCGAAACCGACGGACCTGGACCCGCAAAAATGACGGCCGCGACGCCCCCTTGCGAACCGAAAACGGCCAATTCCTTAATCGACGTGCCAGGGTAATTAGGAGGTCATATCCACCTCCGAAGAGCGGATTCGACTACACGCAAGAGTGACCCTACAGTAGGCAAGAGCGACCTCTGGTGCGCGGCTCTGGGGGCACTGCGGGGGGGAGAAACCCAAGCGCGCGAGATGCTACTATCGCATCGCTTTCGGCGATCGGAGGACCCCATTGGGTCCGCACCAAAAGGTCACTCCAGCGAAAGGTCACCCTCACGTCTAATCGACGGATCCAGCCGTGGCAACGAGGGCCCCCCTGGAAGCTAAGAGAAAGCGAACAAACTTGCCCAGGCTGGATCCTCGAACCTCGGGGGTGGAGGGCTCCTCCAGCTTTGATCCTCGATCCTCGAACCTGGATCCTCGAACCTCGATCCTCGAATCTCCAGCTTTGCACGACGCGAGAAGTAATACCTCCGTGCCGTAAATCTGGCCTCTGGCGGTCGATTGGGACGATCCCGGCACGCCAGGAACGCTCCCGACGAGGCGCAGCTGCCTGAAGGCAGCCCTGGGCACGAGGACCTCCAATGACAGACAAATGCGACCGAAAAGCCGCCGAGGTCACAGGAACCACGATCGTCCTACACGACAAGGCATCGCGACCAGATGCTGCGGTATACGAGGCCCGCCGGCGTGGCACACCGCGTGGGGAGAAGGGCGCTCACGCGTGACCTTGCGCGGTAAGCTTGCGCGCGGATGATGATGCCGCGAATGTGGGCGCAGTCGGCCACTCTCCTTCCGTCACTGATAATTTGACTGGGGCCCCGGGACACACAAATACAGACACACAAAAATTAGAAGATTCCCCATCTTTTCACACACGTTCTGGGCTTTTGTCTTCCCCCCCACTTCCCATATTTTCCCATATGTTCTGGGGAATGGACGATTCATTGTGTCTGTGTGTTTCTGGCCCTCCTCATCACTCTTCCACGCCGCGGGGCAGACGGCGCGCCGCAGGGGGAAAGTGACGGGAGGCAGGCCTCCTCAGAAGGCGGCGGAGCCTCTCCGCAGCCCCCCCTCTGGCCCATCTTGGGCGCCCGAGCTATCCGGGGTAACTCGGGTCCGGGGTAACTCGGGTTTGGATTCCCGAAAGAGGAACCCGAGTTAGCCCTGACCCGAGTTACCCCTGATGATGTGGGGCTCTGGACGCCCGAGCTATCCGGGGTAACTCGGGTCCGGGGTAACTCGGGTTCGGATTCCCGAAAAACGAACCCGAGTTAACCCTGACCCGAGTTACCCCTGATGATTCGGGGCTCTGACCATCTGGGAAGCGCCACCTGTCTCCGCAGAAGGCTCGGAAAGCTTCTCGGAAGGCCGACAGGCCTCGTGCGCCTCTTGACAAGGCCCGCCCCCCCCCCCCCAGACGTGCGACATGTCTCGTCTGCTTCCGTGTGGCCCCCCCCCCCCGCGGAAGTGCCGACCCCTCCCCTGCAGGACCCACGTTTCGCACGAGCCTTTCTGTACGACAGCCACCCAGGGCCCGGCGATGACCCCCCAGGGCGGAAAGCGCTCAAGAACGTGACGCCGTGTGTTTCCACCACGGGAATTTGCGCGTTGCCCTGGCTCAGCCCCCGGCAGCCGCAGCCTGCACCCCCACCCGCCGGCCCGGCCCGCCGTGGTGATGCCTGCATGAGGCCCCGCCGGCTTTAGGTAATTCGTCTATGCGCGGCCCGCTCTGACTCGACTCGCCGTTTGCGCTTTCGCTTGCGGCTGCCGACAAAAAAAGTTGCCACTACGGGAGGGTAGCACCACGACCTCCCCGGGAGGCGCGCCGCCGACTTCCTCCGCGCCGCGGCGGTGTCCGAAGGCCCCCCACCTTGAGCAGGGGCCGACCGTCCCAGCATTCCTGTAGGCCTGCCACGCAGTGTTCGTTGAACCGATGAAATTATCTTAGAACATGCAGCGGATATACATAAGCATGCATACACGTATGATAAATGACTGTTTCAGATAGTAACGTTAGCATAACATTCGCGCAAGCCGCATGCGGTCATCAGAACTTTCTTTTGTGGGCCCACCGACAGATCAGGACGGGCATGTCCGAAGCTCCCCCCCCCCCCTCGTCGTGTTTCCCTTCCCCTCCCTCTCCGACTCGTCGCCTCCTCCTCGTCCTCCTGGCCCCTCCGCCTCCTCCGTCCGAATTCCTTGTGACTAGCTCCTCCCTGTTGCGCCCCGCGCTGCGAGTCGGCAGGGCGGGCCCGCCGTTTTGACCCGAGGCTTTTCCTCACCGTTCGTGCGCCTGACGCCGACATACGCAGAAGGCATATATATATACACCCTGCGAAATGCTTAAGAAATCATGGGTTCAGAAATTCATAGTCTCAGAATTTGAATAAAAACCCAGAACTTCTATCAACATCTTGGGATTTACATGGAAAAATTAAGAATAATCGAGACTTTGGCCGAAAACTTACGTTTTCTTGAGCGTCGCCTGAGGTGTACACCACCACCGTGCCAGGCCAGGGCCATCTTGGCCCTGGCATGGTGTATACGCCATCCTGGCCGAGGCCAGGAGGGTCTATACACCATCCTGGAACCAAGGATGGCCCTGGCCTGACACGGTGGTGGTGTACAAATGCCTTCGTCGGGCGGCAGAGCTTGCGACAGCTTCACGGACGGAAGGGCGGGCAGTTTTGAACGTGTGGCTCCCTGCGGCGCCGCACACATTCGTCCAGAAAGCCTGCAAGGGATTCGCGGATGGAGGGCAGGTGGTTTGGGAAACGTGGCTCTCGCCACAGCACCTTCGCGGATGGAGGAAGGGGCCCTTGCCAAAATGGGGCTCTCGACAGAGCGCCGCGCACCTTCGTCTTAAGAGTGTGCGCCAGCTTGCCGGATGGAGGGCGGGTAGCTTATAAAATGTGGCTCTCGCCTCAGCGCCTCGGGCCGTTTTCGAAATGTGGTTTTCGCCTGAGTGCTGCGCACATTCGACTGAAAGGTGTGCAAGAAATGGGGTGCGCGGGGGCTTCAAAATGTGGCTCTCGCCTTAGCGCTGCGTTGCCTCGTCTTGAAACTTAGCACGAGTTGCGTGGGGAGAGGACGGCTCTGTTCAAAATGTGGTTCTTGCCTCAGCGCCGCGCAGATTCGTTTTAAGCGTTTGCAGCAAGTCATTGACCGCTTATGTTTAACGTCCCAGGAACAACATTCGGGCACGGTTTAGGGTTGCCAGGGCGCCACAGTCAGGTTGATTCGCGGTGCTGACGTCCCAAGAGTCGCGTTCTGATACGATGCAGGGTCGTCAGGACGCAACAATCAAATTGTCTCGAGGCGCTGCAGTCGCAGAAATGGGTGAAGATTTACAGATGTTTGTCTTCCAACAGAGCACTTCCGGCCGTCAAGGCACATTCTTCCAGGCCATGAAGAGGGAACTCGGAAGAAGGGCTGATTGGGTATACACTGGCCCCTCCTCCTCCTCCTCCTCCTCCTCCTCCTCCTCCTCCTCCTCCTCCTCCCCCTCCTCCTCATCCTCCCCCTCCTCCTCCCCCTCCTCCTCCTCCTCCTCCTCCTCTTGTCACCTCTTACCTGTTGGCTGACATGTCGTGCTGACGCAGCCCTCCCACCCAGGGCCGGTCGGCCCTGGGGGGTATCGAACCAGGGCTGGGTGACCCCAGGGAGCACCGCTCCAGGGGCCACCGGCGACACGCGTGGTAACGTGTGGCTGAAAGTAAATGATAAGATGTGAAATCATATTTTAAGGTGGAGGAGGAGGAGGAGGAGGAGGAGGAGGAGGAGGAGGAGGAGGAGGAGGGGTTTATGAAGTATGATATGAAGGTGATAGAAGTCGTCCGCCTCACGCCCAGCAACCCCCGGGAGCTACAGGGGCCGCCCCTCTCCTCCTCCTCCTCCTCCTCCTCCTCCTCCTCCTCCGCCTCCCCTCCTCCTCCTCCTCCTCCACCTCATCCTCCTCTTCCTCCCCGTCCTCGTCCTCCTCCTCCTCCTCCTTCTCCCCGTCCTCCTGCTCCTCCTCCCCTCTCCTCTTCCTTCTCGTTCTCCTCCTCCTCCTCCTCCTCCTCCTTCTCCTCATCTCCCTCCTCATCTCCCTCCTCATCCTGCTTCTCCTCCTCCTCCTCCTCCTCCTCCTTCTGCTCCTCCTCCTCATCATCCTCCACCCCCCACTCCTCCCACTCCCCCCTCCACTCCTCCTCCTCCGCCCCCCCCCCCCCCCCCTCCTCCTTCCGCTCCCCCCCGCCCCGCCCGCCCCCGAGGTCCTGCTGCTGCTCGCGCTGGCGGCGGCGTGCGCCCCCCCCGGCGCCCCGGCTGCTGCCGCGCGCCGCGCGGGCGGCGGGGGCCGCGGGCGCGCGGCGCGCCCCTGCGGGCCGGCCGGGCGCTGGTCGCTGGTCGCTGTCGCTGTCGCTGTCGTCGTCGCCGTCGCTGTCGTCGTCGTCGGCGTCGTCGGCGTCGTCGTCGTCGTCGTCGTCGTCGTCGTCGTCATCGTCATCGTCGTCGGCGTCGTCGTCGGCGGCGTCGTCGTCGTCGGCGGCGTCGTCGTCGTCGTCGTCGGCGTCGGCGTCGCCATCGTCGGCATCGTCGTCGTCGTCGTCGTCGGCGTCGTCGGCGTCGTCGGCCGTCGACGTCGTTGCCGTCGTCATCGTCGTCGAACGCCGTCGTCCCATGACATCTCCGCGCGGTGGCGAAGTATCCTGGCGAAGGACCCAGCCATATGCAGTTGCGAGTGGCGTCGTTGAGAGTATCGCCTTCGGCGGAACCTCTTATGGGGCCGCGAAAAGTGCTAGGAGTGTGCCGAAACGGGTGGGGCCGCCGCATGAGGACACCGCCCCTGGGGCCTTCGGTGGAGCCCCCTTTATGGGGCCACGAAGCGTGCGAGGGGTGTGCCGACATGGGTGGGGCGGCCGCATGTGGACGTGGTCATGAAAACCATCGACGGAGCTGCATGTAGGGCCACGAAACGTGTGAGGGGTGTGCCAAAATAAGGCGTCGACAGTCTCAGCTGAAATGAGGCCCCGCCGCAATGCGACCCCTGCCACTGGAGCCTTCGGTGGAGCTCCCGACGGAGCCACGACGTCCCGGAGGGGTGCGCGCAAATGAGGCACTGCCGCCATGGGGAACCTGCCACTGGAGCCGTCGGTGGAGCTCCCTGTAGGACCACGAAACGTGTGAGTGGTGAGCCGAAGTGGACCTGGGAGGGCTGAGGCAGGAACGGGATGACGATGGCGATGGTGATGATGGTGATGATGTTGACTATGATGACGATGGGGATATGCGGAGGGCAGAGGCAAGGATGGGAGGAGTGGGGGAGAAGGAAAGAGGAGAAGGAGGAGGAGGAGAAGGAGGAAAAGGAGGAAGAGGCAGGGGCGCTGCTGACTCAGCGCGAGAATCCGACTCAACACAGGATGGTTGGGAACAACTCGGCCTCTGGGAGCCATTTCCAGGCCCCAGGACACTCAACAGACGACTAAGGATGAACAGCCAGTTCCTGGAAAGGGGTCCAGACCTCTGGAGAACCACTTACTCGCAACGTCGGACGTCTTGGTCTTCATCGGGTGTCGTCGTCGTCGGTCGCCGTCATCCGTCGTCGTGGTACGTCGACGTCGTCGTCGTCGACGGACGTAGTCGAGAACGTTGTCGAGGTTGTTGTGGTCGGACGTCGTCGTGGGACGTCGGACGTCGGACGTCGGACGTCGGACGTCGTGGTCGTGATCGTCGTCGTCTTCATTCCCAGACATCCGACGAGATATGACGCTTCCTGGCCTGGGGGGGCACCAAACACGCACTGGGGACGAAAAGCTACCCCCGGGGAGCCGGTGGGGACCGCTGGGGCCGCGGATGGGAAGAATCACAGCGGCAGATGTCAAAGCGTGTGACAGTGCCGTCGTCGTCGTCGGTTGTCGGCGACGTCCGACGTCGTCGTCGCCACCAGGCGCCGCCCGCGGGCGACGTGGTCGGACGTCGTCGTCGGTCGCTGTCGCCGTCGCACGTCTTGGTCGGACGTCGTGGTCCGACGTCGGACGTCGTCATGGCCGTCGAACGTGGTCGTCGGGCGCCGTCGTGACGGTGCTCCCGACGAAGTCGTCGCCGTCGTCATCGTCGTCGTCGGACGCCGTCGGGTGGGGGGCGGGGTAGAGGCAGGGAGGAGGCAGGATGGAGGGAATGAGGGGGGACTGAATGTCTTGTGTCGCGTCCTAGGCAAAGTGGCCAACGAAGAGGGGCGGCGGAGAGAGGTGTTTGCTTGTTTTGATGAATGGCCCGGACTGCTCGTGACTGCGTTCCAATGCTGCTTTAACGTCGCTGGAAGTTCCCGAGTCCCGCTCGTCTGAATTCCATTAGGTCGCTCGCGTGTTGAAGGTAGCACTGCGGTTGACTCAGCCTGTCTGCAATTGCACTGTTTGGTGCCCGCACTTCACGCACAACAGCAAGGCTGCATTATTACCAGCGTTGGTATCACTACCTGGTGCAAGGCCACGTCGGAGGCCTATGGTGGCCTCGACCGCTTGCTGAACGAGCGAGGAGAAATGTTGGGCATTGGGCATACCTCGAGATTGCCTCGCCGTTCCGATGGCAAAACGGGCACCTCAAAACATCATAATCCCGAGTGGTGGTTTGGGGGTGGCAAATATGGGGCTGAAGTGGGCTCCTACACCCACGCTGAACAGTACGGATGATGCCCTCCGAGGCTGGCCATGCATCAAGCGTGCACAGCATTGTGGTGTGTGCTACTCTTGTACAGCTCAAGGCATCTGCATCAGGACAAGGACGTCAAGCTGATGCTCTTCCTTGGTCTGTGCAACCTGCTTGTCCAGCTTGTGTCGCCGACGCGTCCTCCTTGGCGTCGTGCAGTTCCCGCGGGAGTGTCAACTTCAGACTTTTCGCGATGGGCCCTCACGCAACCAAACGCGAGTCTGGGGGCGCCCATTAGCCTCCAACTGCCAACCCGTTGGCTTCCGCAGGCCCAAGGCTGGCGCCCCCTCCTCCCGCCAGCTCAACCCCGTAGCCTGCCGGCCGCAACCAGTCTCCGCAGTTCCGCCTGTCCCACAGGCGCAAGAGTGGGGCGACGAAATCTGTACATGTCAACTGCTCCCTTCTGGTCCATCCTGAACCCAGCATCAGTGTATACGCCACGCCCTCCTGGCCAAGCCAGGAGGGCGTATGCAATGGGTTCAGGATGGGTCTGGCCAGGGAACAGTGGATGTGTATAGATTCCGTCGTCCCCTTCCTCGTCGGGAAGGACTGGGGAGGGAACGAGGGATGGAAGGGAGGCGAGGACTACGTTGCTCCCATCGTACTGAAGGACCACGTCCCAGGGATAACTTCGAGCACCCACAGAAGTACCGAAACGGTGCCGAACGAGTATCGCCGCCCAGGGCCCGACACGTGAAAAACCTCAAGCTTCGGCACTTTCGTGGTGCTCGAGTTTCTTTCTGGCGATCAAGGCTAAAGCAGGTCGGAACATCATTTTTTGTTCAAAAAAAAGCAGGTCGGAACATCATGAGGCGAGGAGCGCGTGGGGCCCGACGCCTGCGGCGGCCAGGGGCGGCCGCGGCTGCCACAGCTCGGCGTCCAGCCGGCCGCGGGCGGCCAGCTCCTTCCAGGCACGGAGGGCGGTCTCCTGCCTCTTGCTCGGCCTCCTCCTTCTCTTCCACCTCCCTCCTCCTCCATCGCCCTTCTCCTCCTCCCCTTTCTTCCCCCCCGCCTCCTCCTCTGCGTCTTCATCCCCTCCTTCCTGTTCTGCCTCCTTCTCTTGTTTCTTCTCCTTCTTCTTCTGCTCCTCCTCCTCCTCCTCCTCGTCGTCCTCGTCCTCCTCCTCCTTGCCATACTCCCCCTCATCCTTCTCCTCGTTCTCCTTCTCGTCCACATCCTCCTCCTCGTCCCCCTTTCTCCCTTCCTCTTGCTCTTCTCTATCTTCCCTCTCTTCATCGCTTTTGCACAGGCTCAGGTGAGTGAACCAATCGTAGCGTCTACCTGTTTGCCTCTGTTGGCGATGTGCAGTGGCCTAATCGCATCTTCCTCTTCTTCCTCCGAGCCTACTTAATCCGTCTTCTCCTCGCCTTCCCTCCATCTCTCACGCTGTGGTCAACATCTCCCTGAGTCCGCTCCACGTCGCTCCTTGTGCACTATTCCTCCTCCTCCTCCTCCTCCTCCTCCTCCTCCTCCTCCTCCTCCTCCTCCTCCTCCGCCGCCTTCTCTTGGCCCACTCCTTCTCCTCCACCTCCTCCTCCTCCTCCTCCTTTTCTTCCGCCTCCTCATCCTCGTCCTCCTCGCCCCACTCCTCCTTCACCTTCTCTCGCTCCTCCTCCTCCTCCTCCTCCTCCTGCTCCTCCTCCTCCTGCTGCTCCTCCTCCTCGTCCTCCTCTTCCTCATCATCCTCCCCAGGGACTGAACATATCCATATCCATCGCCTGCCGAGGTCCCCGAAATTCCACCCCCCCGGCGGTGGGTCACGGATAAACGCCCGCCTCCATGCGGCGCGGCTCCTGCAGGAGCCCCGTCAGCCGGCAAGCGGCGTCGACGGTCTGTGACAGGTCCCCCGTCACGCTCACGGGCTGCAGCTCCGTGCCGGCAACCGGGGCTCGGCTAATGCTCACCTCGCCGGCCAGCATACGGTGAGGTCATTGGACGGCCCTCTGTTCTGCGGGACGCCTCCAGCCACACAGCTGTAGGAGAGCGTGTCACACGGTCAGTCTGGCTCGCCCCTCATGGCCAGCTCTGGCAGAAGCCAGGTCACAAGCATAAGCCACAGCATCGTCGTCACCCTCGACCTGCACCCATCGCACTTTCCGCGCGGAAGGTGCCGCTGCGATGCGGCCGCGGCGGCCGGCGCTGCGGCCTCGACGGTGGCCACCGCTGCGGCCGCGGCGGCGGCCGCGGCAGCTTGGCACCCGCCGCGCGGAAGGTGTGGAAGGTGTATTGACTGGCCATAGATACCACTGCCGACCCCAAGACATTACGAATCATCCAGGGTCTGAAGCCTCCTGGGCACATTCCTTAATCAACGCCCCAACCGTGTGATAGGCAAGAGCGACCTCCTAGATCTCCGACGATCCCTGAGGATCCCTGAGATCCCAAGGACCCCCAACACCTTCGCGTCGCGAAGATCACGTAAGCTTCTCGCTCTGTTTGGGCCGCCAGGAGCAACATGATTGTCGGAACGCAGCCCAGGATAGGTCTGGGGATCGATTGGTGGCCCCCCCATCTGGGCGCTGCAACTTTTTCGCAACGAGCGTCTTCGCCCAGTGTGGGCCCCGAGGGCCATCAAAGATCGATCCGGCTCGGAAGATGCCGCAGACAGGCAGGGTCTGGGACTCTGGTCGTGCTTGTTTCGTCATGTGGCATTTTTTCGGAACGTCGAATCTCAGAGGGAGGGGGGGGGAGGGAGGAGGGAGGAGGGAGGAGGGAGGGGGGAGAGGGGAGGAGGGAGGAGGGAGGGTGGAGGAGGGAGGGGGGAGGTGGGTGGAGGGAGGAGGAGCAGGAGGGAGGAGAACGAGGAGCAGGAGCAGGAGGAGGGAGGAGGAGGCCTTGCTCGACCGTCGCTGCTGCTGCCCGCCTTGGACCCTCGGGGGCCGTCGTCGGGCACGCGGGGACAGTCGGGCACGCGGGACCTGGGGCAACAGAGTACCCCCCGGGGGGCGCGGCGAGACCGCTGGGGCCGCGGACTGACAAAAAAAATCTCCTCGGAGGCGCCAGGGCGGGGGAGGAGGAGGAGGAGGAGGGGGAGGAGGAGGAGGAGGAGGAGGAGGAGGAGGAGGAGGAGGAGGAGGAGGAGGAGGAGGAGGAGGAGGAAGAGGATCGGGAGGAGGAGGAGGAGGAGGGAGAGGAGCAGGAGTGACATGAGTGTCATGATCGCCAGAGTCTGCGTGGCAGGCGGGACTAGCGAGAGCCAGGGATCAACCGACGCCGCTCGACGCGTCGGACCCGACTGACAGCGGCCTCCAAGACAGGGGCCGAGGGACCCTTGTGGCCAGGGCAAAGCCCTCGACGAATTCGAAGAAGATTCTCGTGTCTTTTCTTAGAACACTGGGCGCACTCGCTGCGTAGTTGCCTCGGGTCGACAGTAGCCGAACGGCCACACCGAGCACAAAAATACAGCGAGTGTTCGGGCCAGAAATGCAAACAGTGACTGGGATGCAAGGACTCCCCCCCCCACCGTCACCGCCCGCCTCACCCGAGATATTCCGTGGCCAAACTCCTGCAACGTCTCGCCGTCGTCCACAGCGGGGCAGGGCTGGCCGCAGGCCTCGAAGACATTCGCCGAGGGAAAGATGGTCGAGCAAAGTGAGCAAATCCACTTCGCGCCAGTTTTAATTAAACAGTGCGAGCTACCTCTAAGGGAAGCCTGAAGTTTGGCTACAGTGGAACGGCCCATCTTGGGCCTGTCCGCGGTCCATGGGGCCACACGAATGGATTCCGCCAAAGCTTGGGCGGCCCGCTGGCGGACCAAAAAACAGGTAGCGTCCCATCGGTCGGTATCTGGGATACGCTGACCACGAGTAGCAAGGTCCCAAGACTCCTGCGCCGCCTGGCCCGCCAACTCATCAGCAGATTCGCTACCCGCCGCGAGAAGAGCCTGGTCCTCCGACAAGGAGGGGTCAGTGGGATCCAGGTGGGAGGGGGTCCACAAAACACAAATCACATTCTCGCGGCCCTCAATGGCCAGGCGGATACGAAACCAAAGGTCCGAATTCACACCACTCAACGAAGGAAACGGCGGCGCCGCCACCCCTCTAACAGGGGCTGGTTGTCCGTAACATACTCGAAGTTCCCTGGGACACTGCGGAGAGCCAGCTCGAAGGCCAACAGCTCTGCCCTGGGGACCGTCTGGCGGCGGCCTGAGATGGTGGAAGCCCAGCCCTTAAGTCGGCACCGCTTGGTGCCATCCCAGGCCACCAGCACAGCGGCCGCGCCGACTCGTCGGCGGCGCGGGTCAGAGCTGAAGGCGCCTCCTGAGCCATCTCCAAAAACCCGCAAGAGCCCTGCAGGGGACCTGGCCGCCTCGACAGAGGCCACCTCGACTAACGACGGCGACGACCCCACCTCCCAAGCCACGTCCGCCCCCCCGTCCTTGAACACAGGGCAGGTTAAAGACCTAGGAGGCAGGCCGCGGAGCCACAAGGCGGGATTCGCCTCGTGTCCCACTCTGGCCTGGTGGCATAAACCGTCAGAGAGCTCAAAGGCCTCATGATTGCAATTCTTGGGGCATTCCCACACTCTGTGGAAAAGCGTTTCGGGGGCCAAGCCGCATCGGGGGCAGGTACTGGCAACAGCATACCCCGCCTCAAGTTGGCGGACGTGGGTCCACTGGCCTCCTGACACGACAGTCGTGAGAAGGCCTACCTGCTCATACTGATCCCTACGCCCGAGACGCCTAAGTTCCTGGCGCAAAGGCTGGAGGTCAGCCCCCTCGGCCAGGTCATCGCCGTGAGGGTGGGCCGCTGCCTGGGCCCACCACAAGCGCAGTTAAATCTGCCCTGAAATCATCAACCAACTCAACGACATCGAAGTCGCCTTCAGGGCGCTCAATGTCGTCTCTATCAGGGAAATGCCAAACTTCATATTGGTCCCCCACGGGTCTGTGCCATTCAACTGGGGACACCGGCTTCCAACCAACGTCGAGTAACGTGGCGACGACGGCCCCGATCGGACTCCGCACCCGACGCCAGCGTTTCGAGGCCAACAGGTCCAGGCGGCCCCGAATGTGGTGCCACGCGCGAGAGATGCGGCCATGCAGCTCAGGGAACCTATTCCACATGTCAAACCACGTAAACAAAACCTGAGCCCTCAAGGCGATGCAGGGCTCTCGCTCCGCATAAAACAGAGAGAGAAAAAGCACCGTGGTAAGACAACGGCCTGGACTTTTACTGGCAACAGATTGGGAAGCCTGACGCCTCAAGGCTAGGATTGATGAAGGGGAAAGGCCCATGGCCTGATGGCCATATACGGCCTGAGGAAGGGCCCCCTGCAACCAAAGCCCCTGGGACACTTTGGCCGCCTTGGCGTGGCGACGCAGGCGTCGAATGCGCTGCGCACGTGGACGGGCCTTCCTCCGACGGTCCAAAAGCTTAACAACCACCCGACGAGCCCCACCTCCCGTGTCGCAGCCCAGGTCAACAGCTTGGACCGCCAGGGAGGCTGGGATGCCTACCTCCCTCAGGTTGGCCACAATGCGCTTACCAACCTTAGTGGAGGATGCAATGACCTTGGTCTTGGGCGAAACGGGCAGTTGATGCAAGGCAAACGATCGGGCGAAAGACTGGCCAATGGTGGAGAGCTGAGCAATGACATTCTCCTCGGTACCCTCGGCCCGCGCCACGGTGTCATCAACAAAGGTCCAGAGGCCCGCGGAGGAAAGGTCACGGGCCCAGGAGGAGGAGGAGGAGGAGGAGGAGGAGGAGGAGGAGGAGGAGGGGGAGGAGCCGGAGGAGGAGGAAGAGGAGGAGGAGGAGGAGGAGGAGGAGGAGGAGGAGGAGGAGGATGGGCAGCACACATTGCTGCGTGCGGCACGCTGGGCGTCGCCTGCGACGCGACGGTAGCTGGCCCGCGCGCGTGGGCCCCAAGGAGGAGGAGTTGGACACAAGCTGTCGGAGTTCCGCGCGGAGTGCTTGGATCTGCGCCGAGCCCCCTCCTCGGCGCGCCGGGCGCGCAGGGGGGCGGCGCCCGCGGCGCCCGCCAGAGCCCTCCGACGCCGATGCCGATAGATCCGCGCGGAGCTCCGACAGGTTCTGGTTCATTTGGGGATGGACAGACCCCCCTTTAGTAAAACGTGGTTTAGTGAAAACGACCGGAGGCCCAAACCTGGCAGACGCAAGCCTGGAAAATAACGGCCACGGCGCCATCTCGAGAACCGAAAACGGACAATTCACTAATCGACGTGTCATTGTTGGGGGTTCTGTCCACCCCCGATTCATGCCGTCTTGGGCTCTGCGAGGCTTGGCCTACGGTCGGGCACGTCCCCGTGCAGGCGGACTTTGGGATGATTTCTGTGCTAAACCAAAAAAAATCAACGACAACAGCAGCATCGTCCCCAGACTGTGCTGACTGGTTTGGAGTCGTCCTCCTGTAATGGGGCCAGGCCCGACTCAAGCCTGCCCCCCCTCCCACGCCCCCCACAGCGGCGGCCGCCCGCACCAAAGGGCGCTCCGGCATGGGGCCATGGGCCATGGGTCAGCGGCGAGCCCAGGGGGGGGAAGCTCGGTGGCAACTCACGGGAGACTCTCATACCCTCTTGTCCGCTCTTGCGAGTCGACGCCAATCGACTATACATCGACGCTGATCGACGCCAAATCGACGCCGACCGACGCTAGCCGACGCTAGATCGGCGCCATCTGGTCGACTCCCAAACGCTGGTCGACGCTAATCGGCGCTAGAGGTGGAATTGAGCGGGCATGTCAGGCCCCCATGATTTGCGACCGAATGGAAGTGAGAAGGGGCGGGCCTTCCCAGAAGGCGGCGGGTGTCTCAGAACCCCCCCAAGAAACCCTCCAGCCTCCCGAGAGGTTCCGTCTCTTTGGGTATAATTTGCCCGACTTTTCAGAAGACCGGAGGTCTTCCGAGCCTTCTGAGAAAGTCTGCCCCCCTCTGACTCACCCCCCTGGGCTCGCGGCCGATTGGAATTTCGGAGCTGAGCCGTATAGGAAGCCCCAGGCGCACCACAACACTGGAAACAGGAATGAGTAAACAACTAACATAATGAATTGGCAACACGGGCAAAACAACTCATGAACTAGTACAGGGTTGCTGGAACAAGTAAAACAACTAATGCAGCATTGCCCGGTCAATTATGAGAAATGATGTAAACCTCCCGAATACCCGATCAACTAATGCAGAGTTGCCCGAACAACGAGCGCAACGAATGCAACGTTACCCGAAAAACAAATCAAGTAAGGCGTACTCGCTCAAATATCGAATCAACTAATCCACACATTTTCGAACAACTAACGCAACTCATGTGGACGTGCCCGAAACAGTTGGGCAACTACTGCAGCTTTCCCCGAACAAGTGTTCAACTCATGCGCAATGGTTCAAATACTTAATTCAAAACGGCTTCCGAAGTGCAGGGCGGAACACATTAAAACTACGTAGCGCATCGATCACAATATAACACCCATGTCGCATGTGGTGCACCTATTTCCTGTGTGTTGCCATCTCGTTTCCCGCGCTCTCGCATTCCTTCCCGCCCCCGCAACCTCCCTCCCGGGGGCCTCCCAACGGTGAACGGGGGAGGAACGTGAGGGCGACGATGATGACGTGATGCGTGTTGTTGTTCTTCATTCCCTACGTGTCGTTCTTTGGGGGGCACCCCGCGCAGCGCTCGCACCTCACCTCGCACCGCTCTTGACCGCATGGCCATCACACCATCATCTTCATCACCATCATAATCACGAGCACATCATGTCGCGGCCACAACGATCATCACCCCCTCACCACCAGCAGAATCATTCTCTCGCATACACATTCAATCACGCACACCATCATCGTAATCGTCATCATCAGCGCCGTCATCAGCACCACCATCCCATCAACATCACCATCAACAAATCCATCCAACCATGCTCGTTCCACCATCACAATCGCTCTCCCGCCATCCTCAGCAGCGTCATCTGCACTCTCAAACACGCCCGCACCTTCATCTCAAGACACTCCCGAAGAGGGAGCCTCGCCTGCGATTGCGCTGTGGGGAGGTATCAAGCGGGGGCCCACTCCCGATCGTGCCACCCGATCCCGTCTCCGACCTGGCCAGCCGGATTTCGTCACGATCCTCCTCTCTGGGCTCCTGAAGACGTGGATCTGGAAGAACTCTCGAACTTGGGCCGGTCGGCTCGATTTTGAGGGGCGCGGCGCGCCGTGCGACGCTCCCAAAATTTATTCGTGGATCCCCTCGGCGGCGCCCTGCAATCGTGACGGTCTGGCACCGAATCATCATCGCCGCTCGGGTCGAAGACCACGGGCGCGGTTGGAAGAACGACGCGAGCCCACGAAGACGATCCATTTGCAGGGACTTCGCGGGGGAACTGGCGACCGGGCATTCCTGCGAACTCGCGCCCGCAACGGCATGAAGACTCACGGGGGCGGCCGAAATATGCAACGGGGGGGGCGAGGAAAACTGCAGTGCCGAAGGCGAAGTGGAGCTGGCGGTCGAGCGCAGGAGAATGAGGAGGGGCCCCGCCGCGCGTTTCGCCCCCCCCCCCCCCCGCCCCCCCCGGCGCGCGGCGTGCGCCTTCGAGCCTGGGGGCGCGCCGACCTCATAGACAACCTGGCCGTGGGCGTGCCCCATCGGGCCGCCATGCCTCTTTGGCTCTGTCAGGACGACGCGCGCGTTCGACGCATGCCAGTCATCACTGCGCGTGGTTCGAGGCCCCGCCCCCCCGGCGCCCAGTGCAAGAACCCGTTCAGAGCAGAGCCAGGACATCCAAACATAACCGTGGAAACCATGCTCAAGATCGAAGAAGCGCGCGCCGATGCGGGCGGCGCACAGATGGACAGCGGGCTTCCCCATCGTTGAAATGCGCGCGCGCACCTACGCGCGCCGGGCGCGGGCGCCGAGGACAAATCGCCACTGCGCCCGGAGAAGATCGGGCCCATCTCGTTCTGGGTCCGCATGGCCCGCTTTCAAGCGCGTTGGAAGGCCCCCACCTTGGTCGGCTTATCCTGCGGGAAGTCATAGCAGCGCGCCGGCATGTCCAGCAGCCGCCACCGCGCGACACTCCCAGCGCAAGGCGGGCTTGGGGCCGACTCCATCATGTTAAGCACCGTTCCTGGATAACTCGGGCTCAACCCTTCGTCCTCGCAGTCGGAGTAGATTCCGCAAGCGACGATCTCGGCGCGCGCGGCCGTCTTCGACGCGCGCGCGGGATGGCTGGGCCGCAGCGGGCGCCCCTCGGCCACCCGATTGGGCTTCGCAATCGCCGCGGCGATGCTACCCTTGCCCGCCATGCAAACGTTCTGACCACCATCTGCGAAATCCATGGTAGATCGCGCGCCCCCCCGCGGCACAACGGCGCGCACCTCATCGCCCGCGACGCCCTCGAGCACCATGGGCATCAGGTCGTCGCCGTCGTCGTCCTGCTCGGGCGGGGCCGACAGGGCGCGCTGGCCAGCGCCCAGGGGCCATTCCCACCTCGCCAAGCACGGGGCGGGGCCGCGCCGCTCGCCGCCCGTCTCTTTGCGCCCTGGCCTGTGCTCGTCGGCCACCTTCGCGACCCGCAGCCGATGGCGCGGGTCGATGGGGAAAGAGGCGTCGCTGCGGGCAGGAGCAGCAGAGGAACCTGCCCTCCCCGAGCACCGCGCGGAAGTCCCCGCCCCGCGCCACCTTGGGATGCAACGCCGTGGCCTCGCGCGCGATGTCGACGGCCACGCCAGAGTCGTTTGCCTTGGTGCTCCTCTCCGCGAAGTTCTCGATGATATGGATGCGCGTCGACTTCGGGCCCCCAGATTCCGCGGCCATGTGTCGCGCGCGAGGCGGCGCGGCCCCAGGCCCCGAATCCCCGGCGCCGGCTGGCCGGGCGATCGGCAAGAGGTACGATGTAAGGGGTGAGAGACCCGAGCCCCGAAATCGCAAGTTTCCCGAAACCTGGACGCCAGTCCGAGAACTTCGGATCCCCCGCGCCCCCCGACCCGGGCGCGATGGCGGGTTGAGCCGAAGGCCACTAGATACTTGTTTCGCAAACGGTGCCACTCGCTGGACAACTTGCTTTCGCCCGTGCCCGATTTCTCCAGGTCGTGCTCGAGGCCAGTCTCGAATCTCTCGCCGTGGCGCACGCGGCAGAACGACTGCGCGAGCGGCCCCTTTGCGTCGCTGTCGAGCGGATTTTTGAAGGGCTCGCTGTTGCCGCCGAGCATGGCCTTGAGGTCGGCTGCGGCTGCTTTCCATGGGCGCGCCTTCGCCACTGCCGTTGGCAAGCCAGCGCTGCTGCTGCCGATCCAGGGCGCGCCCCCACTGCCGCCACCGTTCGTCTTGCCACGGTCCGTCTTGCTATTCAGCCGCGCAAGGCGAAGCCCGCGCCGCGCAGATTGATGATCGCGAATTCGTTTTCGGGGAGCGGGAGGCGGAAACGCCAGCGAAAACCTGGGCGGGGTGGGCATGGGCACGATACGCGAGGAATGAGGCCCGTCTTGCTGCTTCGGCACTTTGGGGCCCTCTCAAGACCCCGCGCCGCGTGCCCCATCGGCCCATGGCTATCGGCCATGGGGTCAGCTTGGGGCCCCTGGGGGCTCGCTCTCCCTGGCCCTCCGAACTTGGCGGGGCGGGGGGCGAAGGGGTGCGCGTCGAGATGGCGTGGGCGACGTGAAGATGACGAGAACGCGGGGGGGGGGAGGCGACGCGCGAGACCTGATGACATGATGCATGGGCGCATGGGTGATCGGGCACATCGCATGAGGGGCGCGGAGCAGATGCATGAGCGCATGCGTACATGAACAATGGAGGTGCAAAGCGTGGGAGCACGGACTTGAGAGCATGAGCCTGAATGCGCGAGGCACGAGGCAAGGTGGCGCGGCGCAGTGCGTAACGGAGGATGGGGGGGAGGAGAGGGAAGAACAGAAAAGGCACCATTGACGAAGGGCGCGGCGAGAAACACGAAGGGACACAAAGAGGGGCGACGGGGGGGCGAGGAGGGAGGGGGGGCATGGAGGCGGAGGGAGGGTGAAAGGGGAGTAGGAGGGGGGGCCGAGGAGGGAGGAGGGAGGAGGCGGAAGCACGAAGGCTACCTGTTATCCCCTTATGCGTATGTGCCTCTGGCCTGAGCCACGCTCCCCAGTTGTGATGCCTATACCTTATGCGCTGTGCCTGCCACGTGGCCTATGCCCCGCGCCCAGTGCCCCGAAGACCCCGAGGCCCCCGCGCCCTGCCCCGGACCTGCCGCGCAACAGGACGCATCGCGCTACGCGCTCTACGCAGTACGAAGCTGTGCGATACACTTTTTTTTTGATCCGCGGGTCGAGAGTAGGAAAGCACCAACTATACACCAACACCGATCCTGGCCAGGATCGGTGTTGGTGTATAGTTGGTGCCCTCCGAGAGAGCGCACCTCTTCCGGTCGAAGCTAAGCGGGCCGCGCAGAGCTTGAACTACGCAGAGAAGGGGGAGCAAAGAGGCTATGCGACACACGCGATGCGGCGATACGCTTTGCGGCTATGCGCCACGCGGCCGTACGCGAAGCACCCCGTAGATCCATGGATTGCACTGTGGCTAACTCGTTAGCTGAGCCCCCCCTCCGCCGTCCAGAGTCGCGAAAAAACACTAACGACGAGGGCGACGGCGGACGGATGGAAGAGGCAAACATCGGCTGCATGACGATCGCGTCTGGCCGGGCCATGGTCTGGGGCGTCGGGAACGACCTGCTGCAACAGCGTGCACGTTGGCGACGACCAACGGCGGCGACGACGGTGACGATCAACGACCGCCGCGACGACGACAACCATCTCACAGTCGACCACGCCGACAGAAACGACGGCGACCAGAACGAACGTGACACAAAGAGGACGACGACGTCCACGACCATCACCACTACAAGGATCATCATGGCACCATGGCGATGGCCACAACGACCCCTACGTCCTCGGGGACCATGCCCCATGGCCCATCCATGACCCATGACCCCACGACCCCATGGCCCATGATTGGTTGATTACTTGTTCGGGAAATGCTGCATTAGTTCATTAGTTGCTCGAGCAATGCTGCATGAATTGACTCGTTGCTCGGGCAATGCTGCGTTGGCTGATTAGTTCATCAAGCAATTCTGCATTAGTTGCGTTACTTGTTCGAGCAATGCTGTACCAGTTGATTAGTTGTTCGGGCAATTATGCGTTAGGTCGTGAGTTGTTCGGGGAATTCTGCACTAGTTGATTAGATGTGAGGGCAATGCTGCATTAGCTGCGCTAATTATTCTGGCAAATCTACATCAGTTGGTTAATAAGTATGCCAATTCTTCCTCTTAGCTTCGTTAATTGCTTTACTTGCCGACGTTTCGGCTGTAAGGTGCATCCATGCCAGACAGAGAATACAAGGTTTCGCGGCCGATGGGAAGCCGAACCTCGGCGCCCGAGCCGTCCACGAGGGCGGAGATGGTGGCACCTCTGGGCTGGCGGGGCGCCCTCCCCCCCCCCTTCAGAACGGTCTGGAGCTTTTGCCTATGTCGTGTCGCGGCGGCGGCCCCGACGAGAAGGCATGCCTGACATAGGTGGCGACATCCGAACCCTACCCCCACCAACCATCGATGCTCCTGAATCAAGGGCAGGGATCGGATTTCGCCGCGTGGTCGGCGAAGTCCGAAGCCTAACGCTGCCGCCCGTCGAGCTGCCCGAATCCTTCGTCGGCGAGGGCAGGGATCGGATTTCGCCGCGTGGCCGACGAAGTCCGAAGCCTAACGCTGCCGCCCGTCGAGCTGCCCGAATCCTTCATCGGCGAGGGCAGGGTTCGGACTCCGCCGCCGAGTGACGCGGAGAGCGCGGCGCTCCGCTTCGCGGGACGAGAAGCCTCCTCCTCCTCCTCCTCCTCCTCCTCCTCCTCCTCGTCCCCCCTCCCTCCTCCTTTTCCTCCTTCTCCTCCCTCCCCCTCCTCCTCCTCCTCCTCCTCCTCCTCCTCCTGCTCCTCCTCCTCCTCCCTCCTCCTCCTCCTCCTCTTCATTCTTCGGGACGTTGACGCCTGAAACCTGGGCAGTGGATCGTGGCTGGCGTGCCGCGCCGAGTCGTGATGGGCCAGGAAGTGCGCCGAGACACGCCGAGCCAGAAGTCCGGACCGCACACCCTGACATCAGGTCGGGCCTGTCCTCCTACAGGCGGACTTTGGAGGAAGAATCGGAAAGAGCCAGAAAGTAATCAAAAGTGGTCAAGCATTCATCGAAAGATCGTCCCCAGACTACTTTCTGACTATCTGGGAATATTCCTCCTGTATCGGGGAGACGTAAGACCCGGGTACGGGGGACTCGGGTTGGCCCGACGAGGTCGTCAAAAAAATGACGAGGCCGAGCCTGCATTTTGACGAGGCCTCCCGCTGCAGACATCCCACGAAACTCCTCCTCGTCAAAATCCGAGGCGCGGTCGTCAAAAAACGATGGCGAACCCGAGTCCTGGCAAACCCGGGTCTTACGCTCCCCCGACTGTAGAGGGACATGCCCGACTCAGCCCTGACATGCTCGCGCCGTGAACAGAAAATCACGGCGGCAAATGTTTGGCCAGGCTCGGCCCCCCTGGGGGGGCGAGGCCCTGGAGCTGACAGGAACAACCGGGGAGGGAGAGCCCGTCCCCGAGCCCAATCGGGGATCTTCTGACTTGGGCGTTGCTTAATGGGGGGGTCACAAATAGGGGAGTCAGAAAAGGTCCCCTTTCGTGCCCCTTTCGGGCCCCTCCGGAGCATCAAGGGGCTCGTTTAGGTACCGTTTGGGTACCTTTTCGGACCACCCGCGACACCCCCGCATTTATGACCCCCCCATTACGCAACGCCCAACTGACCCGGGTCAATACAGACCCAGGTCAGCAGGGAACCAAAAACTGCAATGCAGGAAAAAAAACTGCAGCGCAGGTCTTCGCAAACCCGGGTCAGCCAATAGGCGCGGCCGCCTCGCAGCCACGAGCGGCTCGCTAACCCGGGTCAGCCAGAGGGGGTCTTCGTAGGATCCTGCAGGATCCGGCGGTGCCGTGGCTGACCCCCGTCTGCATTGACCCCCGTCTCGAGGCTCCCGACCCAAGCATGTCGGCGCGACGCCGGCACGTTAGGGGGAGAACCAGCGCTGGCTTGACAAAGCACGGATGGATAGCGCGCCGCTGGACACGATCATGCCGGGCCCGCCACGCGCAACCGACGAGGCGCAGACCTCGGAGAGTCGCAGCTGCAGTCGGCCCGTAGCACAGAACGCGCGATTGAGGATGCAAGGGCCTTGGACGCCCGTGCCGAAGCTTCTGGAGCGGGGCGCGGCCGACGAAAGCAGCCGAGAGTGGGCCGAAGGGGCAAGGATGCAAGGGTACCCTTGGGAAGGCTGGCCATCCGTATTATTCTGCGGGCTGTCTGTAAGGAGGCGCTCTTGCGACGCTCGAAAAGATCGGTGTGATGTGGGAGACGCGCGTGCGCACGTATGCACTAGGGTGTGCGGGCCTTCGCCGGAAGCATAGTGAAACTATGCTGTTGAACGCCTCAAGCTCGCAAACCCTCCCCGAAACATGCTACCCGCTACAGTCTGCGCGGTGGCGGTTGCGAAGATACCATGGTGGCCATCGTCCTGTCCCTGGCAGGAACAGGATGCCAACCCCCCGTCCTCCTCCTCCTCCTCCTGTTCCTCCTCCTCCTCCTCCTCCTCCTGTTCCTCCTGCTCCTGCTCCTGCTCCTGCTCCTCCTCCTCCTCCTCCTCCCTCCTCCTCCTCCTCTCCTCCTCCTCCTCCTCCTCCTCCTCCTCCTCCTCCCCCTCCCTCCTCCTCCCCCCCCTCCCTCCTCCTGCTTCCTCCTCCTCCTCCTCCTCCTCCTCCGCCTCCTCCTCCTCCAGCCAGCCCGCCTCGCTCTCTGACCCGCCCGACCCCCGCAACCCCCCTCGGCCCAGCCCTGCCCATGGGTCTTTCGGCCTCGAGGGGGGGCGTTTGAAGGGGCCCTGGGACATACAAACAAATACATACAAATAACTGGATGTCCCATATTTTCCGACATTTTCCGAGTTTTTGTATTCCCCCCCACTTCCCATCTTTTCCCATATTTTCTGGGGAGTCGACGATCAATTGTGTCTGTGTGCTTCTTTCCCTCCTGAACGTTGGAGGGGAACCGACTCGGCTCAGGAGGGACACGTCGACCTCATCGACGATCCATCGCCGAGGGATCGGCGATGACGAATCGCAGGTTCCTGTACAGGGGTGGGCTGCCGGGCACCTATATCGGCGATCAATGGGCGATGTGGGGCCGATGCCAACCCTCCGTAAGCCTCTCCCTCCGGCGCTGCCCCCGAGGTCTGCGGGCCTTTGGGCCCCACGATGTAGCCGGTGGACGCGGCCGGCACCAGCATGACGAAGATCCCCACGGCGCCCTCCGCGACCTCCTGTTGAGCAGGGACCGACCGCTTTGGCATTCATACCTACAGGCCTCCCACGACATGCTCTTAGAACCCAGAGATGTTTTAAGAACTGGGTCGATGTTCGTCGTCCAGGAAGCCGATGTGTTCAAGAGCAGGGGAGAGGTTCTGATAACAGAAGCAACGTTCTTGAAACGTGAGCCCGAGGTTCTCAGAACATGGGCCCGAGGTTATTTAATCGCTTCGCTCATGCCGCCGGCCCTGGAGCCCTCTTTAGGTCCTCTTGGGGGCCTCTTGGGGACCTCTTGGGAGTCTCTTGGGACTCCTTGGCGGCGTTTTGGAGGCCCCCAGGGCCTCTTGGGGGGCTCTTGGGTGTAGTCGATTGCGGCTCCCCCCTCGGAGGCCACGATCCTCGTGAGGGGTGTCGAAAAATACCCTCCCCTGGAGTGGTCTGGTGGCTTCTCCCGGGCTTCTCTCGGAACCTCGGGCCCGAGGTTATTGGACGCTTCGCCGAGCGCATGGCTCCTGGGACCGGTGGACGATCTGATGATTTTTTCATTACGTCGACCTCCAGTGGTCCCGACCCTTTCCCCATGACCGGCTTTGCATCCTGAGTCGTTTTTTGACGCTCCCGAGGCCCGGTGAGGGCCCCCAGAGGCCGCAAAGTAGGAAAAACCTCCCGTCATGATTTTTTCATTACTCGAGGGGGTCTGGGAAGCGCATGGCTCCTGGGACCGGTGGACGATCTGCACGATCCTCTTGCACTCGGCCTCTCTGCCCGGCGGGGATCGCCCGGGGAGCGCGCGCAGGGCGGGGCGGGGGAGGGGCGCCGTCGTCCCCAGGGAAAGGGGGGCAGGCAAGCAGGGCGTCCCTCCCCGGCCCTGTGGCGGTCGCCCTCGACCCCAATCCCGCCTCGCTCCCTCTGCCCCTGCCTCTTCCCCCTCCTCTCAACCTCGTCGCTCGTCGCCTCCTCGCCTCCTCGCCTCTTCTCGCTCTGCGCTCTTCCTCCTCCTCCTCCTCCACCCTCTGCTTCGGCCTCTGTCTCTTTCTCTCTCTCTCTCTCTTTTTCCCTCTCTTTTCTCACTCTCTCGCTCTCTCTCATGGCCGGAACGAGCACACGAGCCGCAGGAACACCAGTTCGAGGAATGCTTGAGCGGGACGTTCGCCAACGTCTGTTGAGCCCGCTCAATGAGATGGACGACGGCCCGGCTCTGGTTAACATCAGCACTCCGCTGCAAGGTCCCGACACGCCTCCGGAGGCTCGCAGCCCGAGCGTCCAACCGCCAGGCCTGAAGGAGATCGCGGCGATGTTCAGGCAGGAAGTGAATCCTCTGCGACAGGCGATCACGAATCTAGAGCACAAGATCTCGGGCATGAGGGAGGTGATGGAGGTCAAGCTGGGGGCGGTGGAGGAAAGGATGGAGGACGTAGACATCCGCATTACCAACCTCGAAAATCAAGTTGATCAGGGTACCCCGAGGTCCGAGCAGAGCGTGGGCCAGGACGTCTTGGATCAGATCAAGGCTTTGGAGTTGCAGGTCTCCATGCTGATGACCCCGCGCGGCGCCAGCACCAGCATCACAGACAACCAGGACAAGGAGAAGACCTGTGTGATCGGCGGGCTGCAGCATTTCGGGGAACTTGATGGGGCGAAGGATTGGGTCATGAACAACCTCTGGGAATCTTATGGGCCACGGCCGGAAGAAGTGTACACGAAAGACGATTTCTGGGGGATCATCTTTGGTAAATTCACCTCGACGAAGGACGGGACTCCGTCGTGAACATCTTCCGGAAAGGTTCAAGGAGGGGGGAAGGATTTCTGGGCTAAACGTATGTTGTTCCCATCCTACTTAAAGACCGCATCCCACAAATGACTTCGAGCACCCGGAAAAAAGTCAAAAGAGTGTCGAAACAGTGTCGGGCGAGTATCTCCCAGGGCCCGAGACGTGAAAACCATTGAGTTTCAGTACTTTTTTGGGCGCTCGACATTCTTCCTGGCGATCAAGGCTAAAGTAGATTGGAACATCATAAGGCTAAACCAGGCCGGTCCCTCCCAGAGCGGGCCATCTCAGGTTTCGTGTGCGGTGCGAAGCGCCTGCTCAAGCAGTGGGGTTGCGCCGCACCATCGACGGGTCTGGGCGGATCCAGCCGAGGCAAGGTTTGGGCAGGGGGCGGGTGGCGGTCCAGGCCAACTTAGTCTCTGGCAAGCTCCCCGTGGAGCATGTAGGGGGCCACATGCGAACCCTGCCCCTACCCCCCACGATTTCTGAGGGGGAGGGTGGGGTTCACTTCGCTCGGGAGCTCCCCCCTCGTACGGGCGGGGGTGGGAGGCCTGGTTTACGGATTCCGAGCTTCCTGAGTTCCCCGACCTGTTGAAGATGATGGCCAGCAAACTCGAGAACGCCCCGTCCAAGGGAAGTGGCAAAGCTGCGACCAAGGGCAAGTACAAGGGGGAAGGGAAAGGGCACCCGGTAGGGGTGCCAGCGGTGCGCGAGCAAAGACTTTTAGAGGGGGTATGGGCATACTTTTCATGCTTCCCAGTGCACTCTTAATACCCATGCAGCTTACGCGGCGCAGCATGGTCAAACCAAACTGCCGCTTGCCGCGTGCAGGGGCGGGCGTTTATCCCCCTCCGCTTCTGAATTCACAGTTGCATCCTGGAACATTGAAGGCTACGCAGTTTCGAAGCATATTGAGCGTGAAACAACCATGATAGACAGCCAGATCGGGGTATTGTGCTTGCAGGAGACATGGCAGCTAAAATCCGATACGTTTGTGACGGAGTCCGGTTTCTTGGTCATCATGTCAGGCGGCGCCGACGGAGATAGTGGACGAGCTGAAATGGGTTTCCTCGTTGCGCCATGGATCTGGAAATCAGTCGTTGGGTTTTGCCAAGCCACTTTGAGAATGGCTTCTCTGAAGATACGCACTCCGGGGGGGAAGGCAATCATTTCCTGGGCTTACGCGCCCCACAGCGGGAAACCATCCGATCAGCGGCACACATTTTCCACGACCTCGCAGACTTCGTGGAATCCAGATCAGCCCGCGGACCTCAATTGATTTTGGGCGATTTCAATTCAAAGCTTTTCTACCGTATGGATGGTGAGCACGCGGTAGTCGGTGATCACGTTCTGCTATGTCCTGACGCAGTTTGCAAGGAGGGCGCCAATCGCCATCTGCTGGTGGAGACTTTCACTCATCTGAATATGTGCTTGGCCAATACATTCTTCGACATCCCAATGGGCGGTCTGGCAACGTGCTACACTGTTGGGACAAGGGCAGGATCCCCTGTCAGCGGACAGACACATTCACAGATAGATTTCTTGGGATGCGACCAGACACTGCTGCCCAACGTCCGAAGCGTGAGTGCCCGTCCGGAGGTACCGCTGTCGCCGCATCACTTTAGATCCAGGCCTCCGTGCACATGGAGTTTGAAAAGTGCCCCGCTGCAGAGCAAGCGCGTCGCCGAGACCACAGCGCCCTCGCCGACGACGGCGTCCGGCAGCTATTGCAGAAACACTTGAACGAAGCTTGGGACGACTTTGAAGAGGCATCTCCCGACAATTCCAACGTGAACCTCGCTTGGTGTTGGTGTCGTCTGGTCGATGGTTCTCACCATGCCGACGAGAGAGCACTGCCATCGGAACCGCAGCGTCCGCGCAAGCCGTGGATCAGCAGCAGCACGCTGGAGCTCATAGCGATGAGACACAATGCCAGACGAGATGGCGACGCTGCTCGGGAACAAGATATTGCGAAACGCATCCGGATCTCTGCCGCCAGAGACAAAGCGAATTGGCTTGAGAATGTCACCAAGGAAGGCGATTGGGCTCAGATCCAGAGAATGCGTAGAGGACCCCAGCAAGCTCAAGGGAGACTTCGAACTAACGACGGCGAGTTGGTGGACAGTGACCGCAGAGCAGACACTCTCGCGCAGCACCTGGAGACCTTGCATAGGGCGGTACAGCCGACGACTGCGCTGCTGGACGGCCCTGTGGTCCACCCTGGTCTTCCGGTCAACTTGGGCACCATCACTGACGAGGAGGTGATGTGGGCGGCGCGCAGACTGAGGAACCGACGAGCGGGAGGTTTGGACGGCTTGCGGCCAGAATTCTGGAAAGCGTCCGCCAAGGATGGTCAGCCAGCTCTAGCATGGGTCACTCGATTTTGCAATATGGTATGGTCGCAGACGACAGGGCCAGACGCTTGGCATAAATCACGCGTGCGCATGATCTACCAGAAGGGAGACCCTGCGGCATGCGACAATGACCGACCGATCAGCTTGCCGCCAATCGGGTATAAGGTGTTCGCAACGATCATGCTGAAGAGGCCGAAGGACGCCCGGGCGGAGGACAGGATATGGCCGACACAATTTGGCTTCAGGTCACAGCGCGGCACCTCGGACGCCATCTTCGTGGCCAGACGAGCGATCGAGGACGCGTGGGCCACAAAAGACGGGACTGTCCTTCTACTGGCGCTGGACTGGGCCAAAGCTTTCGACTCCGTTTCCCCGGAAGCGATGGCGACGTCACGTCAGCGATTTGGCTGCACAGCCAAGTTCGTCGACATGGTGGCTGCGATTTACGACGACAGAAAATTCGTTGTGCCTGACTTCGGCGCAGATTCGGGGGAGCGGCGGCAAAGCTTTGGCATCTGCCAGGGGTGCCCGTTGTCCCCGTTCTTGTTCACCATCGTCATGACGACGTTGTTGCAGGACGCGCACGCGAAGCTGCTCGACAGACTCCCGGGCGCCCCCGCTGCGCACTTCGTGCGGGAGTTGGTCTACGCAGACGACACGCTACTCCTAGATGCGAATCCGGACGTCGTGCAGGAGCTGATGACGTACGGGGAGGAGTGAGGCAAACAATACGGGCTGAGATTGAACTGGAGCAAAGTCGAGATGATGAGGGTTCGCTCCAACGCACACGTGGTGAACAGCGTCGGTGAGACCGTGCGGGAGGAGGCGCTGGTGTACTCGGAACCTAGCTTTCGTCCGACGGCCGCTGCGGTTCCGAACTGAGCAGGAGAATCGGCGCAGCGAAGATAGATTTAAGGTCTTGGATTCGATTTGGTCTCACGCAACTCTGTCTAGGCAAAGGAAAGTGAGGATTTTTAAGGCGTGCGTGGTCTCAAAACTTTGCTATTGTATGTTTGTTGATACCAGTCAGAGCGCATAAGACTTGACGGTTTCCAGGCTAGGTGCTTGAGGAAGACATTCCGAATACAACCCTCATATCATAGCCGCGTGTCCAACACCGTTGTCTTGAGCATCGCCGGGGAAAGGCAGCTGAGCGAAGCCATTGCGAAACAACATATGGTATTTCTAAGAAAGCTCGGGAGGCGCCCTGGCAACGACCCGGTGCGCAGCTCCGTCCTCCAGCTAGGTGGCATCGAGCTCCGAATGGCGACAGGGACTCGCAAGCGAGGACGTCCCCGACAGATGTGGGGCAACATGGTGACGATGTTGTTGCATGAAGGTTGCTGGCTCCCACGCCCGCCGGGCTGCCTTCTTCCGGCCGGAGGCCGGTGCAGCTGCAGCGCGGGAGGCAGCTGTCAGATCATGGCACGATTGACGTATGCCCCCTCCTCCTCCTCCTCCTCCTCTTCCTCCTCCTCCTCCTCCTCCTCCTCCTCCTCCTCCTCCTCCTCCTCCTCCTCCTCCTCCTCTCTGTCACATTTTAACCAGACATGCTTTGCAGAGCCTGATTTGGATGGAGTATCGAAGGGCCCCTTCACAGGCACCATCGTCTTGCTTCACCCTGCTCGCCCGCCGTCTGGCGCAAGGCTTCTGACCTGCCCTGACCATCTCTCTCTCTCTCACACCGTCGCACGCTGCAGAATGACCAAACTTGCGGGTTCCTGGGTGTTGTTGATGGCCCTTTCAGAGCGCCTGGATTTGGACACCCGAAATGGGTACCGAAAGAATGGGCACTATGCCCAACAACCAATGTTGTCCCAAACCAACAGCGGCCGCTGTTGGGCAGGCGGCCCTCTGTCTCGAATGGACACAGGCCGCGGCGGCGTGGACACCGAATCCTGTTCAGAATGAACAAGAACTGCTGTTGGGCATCGTACCCATTCTTTCAATACCCATTTCGGGCGTCCAGACTGGAGAAAGAGTCAGGAGCCCGGGCCCCCGACGTCATGACTTTGTGTGTCTGGCTGTGGCTGGCTCCCGGGGGGGGAGGGCGGGGGGGCTCTGTACCTCTGGAGGCCTCGGGGAGCCCGCTCGAGCCCGCAGGGGGCCTCCAGGGACCTCAAGAGGCTTCCGGGAGACCCAGCGGACACACACACACACAGAGACACACACACACAACACAACACAACACAACACAACACAACACAACACAACACAACACAACACAACACAACACAACACAACACAACACAACACAACACAACACACACACACACTCACACACACACTCACACGACACGACGTCGTGACCTGCTCAGCCCATACCAAACAAAGACTCGGCGCTCCGGTAGGGGGACCCAGAGATCCGAAGCTCCAGACAAGTTGGAGCGGCGGGCTTCTGGCCGTGTTCGGTCTCAAAGGGCCCTCGCCGAGCCTCGGGACCGTCAAACAACGGCCCAGGACGAAAAACTGGCCCCAGGGATATGGTCCAAGCCTCCAAGGCCCACGCATCCAGACCTCCAGGGCTCTCCGGGGGGGCAGGGGGGCACCTTGACGCACTCGGGGGGGGGATCAGCGTCGTGAATAAAGACCGAGGTCATCAGAGATCTGGAGGCGCGGCAAGCCTGAGCTGGACCGAACCTCGGAATCGGACTGGATCTGGTACGGACATAATCGCCAACGAATCGGATCGACATCGGATCGCCGCGCATGGCTCCGACCTGGTCCAGGCCGATGCCGGCGCATCGAAACAAATCGCATCGGATCGGAAGCGCAGCCAAAGCTGGCGACTCGAATCGCATCGAGTCGCATCGCAGGCGGCTCCAGCAGCACCCGCGCAGAAGGAGCTCGCGCTGCCAGGCCTGCGTCGGACACCGCTGCCGCCGCGCTCTGGGGCGACGTGTTGCGAAGGTCTCCGGGGGTCTTCGAAGGCCAGTGGAGGTTCCCAGACCCCCTCGCGTTGCAAGCAAAAATCACGACGGGAGGTTTTTCCAGGCGGAGCAGGGTGAACTTCTGTGCCCGCCGGCGTGACTGACTGACTGACTGACTGACTGACTGACTGACTGACTGACTGAACGTCAGGAGAACACTTCTGACCACACATGTCAAACCGCTGGGCGACACATTTCAACCGCTGACGCATTTCAACCCAACCGCGCAACCGCAACCGCAACCAGGCGGCATAATTCAACCCGCCCGCGTAACCGCAACTGCAACCGCAACTGGCCGACACATTTCAACCCACCCGCGCGCGCAAACGCAACCGCAACTGGGCGACACATTTCAATCCGCCCGCGCGCGCAACCGCAACCGCAACTGGGCGATACATTTCAGCCCGCCCGCGCAACCGCAACCGCAACCGCAACCGGGCGACACATTTCAACCCGCCCGCGCGCGCAACCGCAACCGCAACGGAGCGACGCATTTCAACCCGCCCGCACAACCGCAACCGCAACCGCAACGGGGCGACACATCTACACCGCCCGCGCTACTGCAACCGCAATCGCAACTGGGCGACATATTTCAACCCGCCTGCGCGCTCAACCGCAACCGCAACCGGGCGACACATTTCAAACCAACCGCAACCGCAACCGGGCGACACATTTCAACCCGCCCGCGCTACTGCAACCGCAACCGCAACTTGGCGACACATTTCAAACCGCCCGCGCACGCAACCGCAACCGCAACCGGGCGACACATTTTTACCCGCCCGCGCAACCGCAACCGCAACTGCAAGCTGGCGACAAATTTCCACCCGCCCGCGCGCGCAACCGCAACCGCAACCGCAACTGAGCGACTTTTTCTTTAATCCGCCCGCGCGCGCACTCGCAACCGCAACTGGGCGATACATTTCAACCGGCCCGCGCAAACGCAAACGCAACCGCAAGCGCAACCAGGCGGCACATTTCAACCCGCCCGTGCAACCGTAACCGCAACCGCAACCGGGCGATACATCCCCACCCGCCCGCGCGCGCAACCGAAACCGCAACCGGGCGATACATTTCAAAGCACCCGCGCAACCGCAACCGCAACCGCAACCAGGCGACAAATTTCAACCCGCCCGCGCAACCACAAATGCAAACTGCAACTGTGCGACACATTTGCAACCGCAACCGCAACCGGGCGGCATAATTCAACCCAAACGCGCAACCGCAACCGCAACCGCAACTGGGCGACACATTTCAACCCGCCCGCGCAACCGCAACCGCAACCAAGCGACACATTTCAACCCAGCCGCGCAACCGCAACCGCCACCGGGCGGCACGATTCAACCCGCCCGCGCAACCGCCACCGCAACCGCAACAAGGCGACACAATTTTAGCTGACCGCGCGCGCAACCGTAACCGCAACCAGGCGACATATTTCACCTCGGGTACACACACACATCATCGGTCACCTCGCCCTCGTGTGCACATTCTCTTTTCTCGGGTCGGGCGAAAGGGGGGGATAGCAAAGGGGGGGTTTGAGAATCAGCTCACGTAGCTGATTTTCCCGGCGCCTCCCGGCGCCAGAGGCAGCTATGTATCGAGGAATGGGCCCCTCGGAGAGGCCGAAACCAGCTGCATGCAGCAACTTTCGTAACCCCCCCTTTCCCAATCCCCCCCTTTCGTCCCGTCCGATTTTCAGTCTCCGTTTACCTGCGGTCCTCCTACAGAGGATCTGGGGAGGAAGGAGGGTGGATGGAGGAGGGAGGGAGGAGGGAGGAGGGAGGAAGGAGAGAGGGAGGGAGGGGGGGGCAGGGAGGGGTGGAGGGAGGAAGGAGGGATGGAGGGAGGAGGCAGGGAGGGGAGGAGGGAGGAAGGAGGGAGGGAGGATCAAGAAGAAGAGTAGGAGGAGGAGCAGGAGCAGGAGGAGGAGGAGGAGAAGGAGGAGGAGGAGGGAGAGGAAGAGGAGGACGAGAGAGAGCGGGAACAGGAGGATGGGCAGGATGGCCAGGAGGAGGAGGACGACGACGACGATGAGGGGGATGCGGCGGTGGTCGTGTTTCAGGGGGTTGTAGGATCAGGCGCCGATGGAGGAGGGGACCCGATGGCTCGATAGGAATATGAAGGGCCATGAGGTTGCGAAGGAGGAGGGGGAGGCCGATGAGGAGGACGAGGGGGAGGAGGATGAGGAGGAGGGCGAGGAGGACGAGGACGCGGCTCTCCGCCGGGACACTGCAGCGGGGAATTTCCATTCCACGCTGCTGCCTCTGGTTGTTGCTGCTTTCTGCCTCCGGGGGCCCGCGCCGCGCCGAGCCTCGGGGCCGCGGGGCCGCCCAACAATGGCTCGGGGTGCCAAGCCGCTCCCAGGGCAGGGGCCCAGGCCTACGGGGGTCGACGTTGTGACAAAAATCGCGGTGTCGAGGGCCTGGGTTTTGGGGGGGGTGCCTCCCACCTGACCTTCCAGCCAGGTGGGGGCCAGGCGGAGGCGGGAAGGCATGGGGGGGAGGGGGGGGGGGGCAAGAGGGCGGGGAATAGGGAGGGAGGGAGGGGGGAAGGAGGGAGGGGGGGGAGGAGGAGGAGGAGGAGGAGGGGGAGGAGGAGGAGGCGGCGGAGGAGGAGGAGGAGGAGGAGGAGGAGGAAAGAGGAGGAGGAGGCGGTTTCGGAGTAGGGAGGGGGCGCCAGAGATGCAGGGAGCACGAACGGCGGCGGTGGCGAGTCTGGGGCCTCCTGCTGGGCGGGGCCCCCGAAGACGCTGACGATGCGGTCGCTCAGCACGGGCGGCGTCTCCTCGTCGGGCAGCACCTCGACGCAGGCGCCGGAGGCCTGGGGCGCCGTGGGCGCGTTCATCGTCTATCGGGTCGGGCGAAAGGGGGGGATAGCAAAGGGGGGGTTTGAGAATCAGCTCGCGTAGCTGATTTTCCCGGCGCCTCCCGGCGCCGGAGGCGGCCATGTATCGAGGAATGGCCCCCTCGGTGAGGCCGAAACCAGCTGCATGCAGCAGATTTCGTACCCCCCCTTTCCCAATCCCCCCCTTTCGCCCGGCCCGAGTCTAGGCTCTGGCAAACTTGCTTGGGTGGCATTCCCCACCCCACCTCGGGCGTTGGCAGAACTGGGTTTCGTGGAACCTGGTTTGGTGATGTGTACCGGGGGCCGCCCCCCCGTCCCATTTCCACTCACCGGAACTGCCGTCACCCGAAAAACACCAGTTACGGCAAACCTGGTTTAGTGAATCTGGCCAATTGAAGGGCCCCAGGGCCCTACCACTGACCGGGTCCCCTTACCCGGGGTCCTGGCTATACCCGACCACCCTCCGCTGCCTATCTGACAGCGCTGGGCAAAACAGGCGGCGTGCGAGTTCGTCTCGCTCTGCGTGAAGTCTGGACTTCCTTCCGGGCCTCGCCACGCCCCCCCTCTTGCGTGAAGTCAGTCCAGATTTCCTTTCCGGGACTCGCCACGCCCCCCCCCCCCCTCTCAGCGGTGATGGCCTGCTTGCGGCGCCCGTTGTCGAATGCCGCAGGCAGGATCGGGCCGCATCGGCACGGAGTCGGAACCGAGTCGGATCGGCTCCGCCAAAACGCACGACAACGCCCTGATTAACATCGGGCCGCATCACATCGTCATGATTAACAATGGAGCCGACTCGGACCAGGCCAGCCGGCCGGAGCCGATATCGAACCGGGTCGATCGAAATATGCCCCAAGGGGTGGAGCAGGGAGCAGGGACTGCGGAACACAGCCGAAGCATGGCCACATGAGCCTCGCCCCCAGCCCCTCTCTCTCTCTCTCTCTCTCTCTCTCTTTGCTGTGTTTCTCTCTCTCTCTCTCTCTTTCTCTCTCTCTCTTTCTCTCTCTCTCTCTCTTTCTCTCTCTCTTTCTCTCTCTCCCTCTCTGTCTCTCTCTCTCTCTCTCTCTCTCTTAATACCTCTTTGTATTAATATCTTTCTCTCTCAATATCTCTCTCTCTCTCTCTATCTCTCCCTTCCCTCCCTCTTTATCCTCCCCAGTCCTCCTCTACGCTCCTTCCTCCTGCTGCTTCTCCTCCTCCGTCCCTCCTCCCTGCCCTCTTCGTCCTGGATTCCTCCTCCGCCCGTCCACCTTCGTCTCCTCCTCCTCCTCCTCCTCCTCCTCGTGCTCCTCCTCCTCCTCCTCCTCCTCCTCCTCCTCCTCCTCCTCCTGCCGTTTCTGCCGTTTCTCGCTGAGCCAGCGTCTGTGATCCTCCTCCTCCTCTTCCTCCTCCTCCTACCTCGATCCCCTGGCCTTGTTCTCCTCCTGGCGTGGCGACGCTGTCTGCGGCGCGAACACCAACCGACGCCGAACGACACGGCGGCGAGGACTAGCAGCAGCACGAGCAATCGTAAGCGACTCGTCTTTCGTCCTTCGCCCCACGTCGAGAAACACATCACTGTCACGCACAAACATAAACTTTCGGAAATCCGCGCAGACCTCTTGGATCAGCGCTGGACTCCCCTCCGTGGCGCGCGGAGCGCGCCAGGCGCGGCGCTGGAGGCGCCACCAATGGTGGCACAACGCCGATCCAAGAAATCCGCGCGGAGCTCCGAAAGTTCATGCTCAAAAACGAGCTCTTCCTCGCCACCCTCCCCCAAGACATGCGACGTCGTGTCTTTCCAAAACGGGATCTCCGGAAGTTCCGACTCCCTCCCCCGGGCCAGTGCCTCATCTCGAACAAAGAAGTTTCTGACGGTGCCCAGGCTAAGCGAAAATTATTCACTGCGTGGAGCTCCCCATATGTGCATCTATTCGCATGGACCTGTCCGCCGTGAATGTCTAGGCGCAAGAGCTTTCGAATATACACGGGCTTCAGTTGTGACGGTCTGGACATAAATCTAATTGCGAATGAATTGGAGTGTGAATGAGCCTCAGTAGTACGAGCGCGTCTTTGTGCATGAGCCTGGGGCCTCCTGGGGCCTCCTGAAACCTACTGGGGCTTCCTGGGGTCTCCAGGAGCCTCTTGGGGCCTCCTGGGACCTCCTAGGGAGGTTTCGTGCCCCAGGAGATGCGCAATCTATAGCAACAGACGTACATAAAACATTGCGGATTAGAGCCACAGGAGAAGGGCAATATATAGGAACACGCGTAAAACACCAAGGACTCGTGCCCCAGGAGAGGCCCAATATATAGGAACATAAGTAAAACATGTAGGATTGTGTACACAGGAGAAGGACAATCTATAGAAACATACGTATAGCATCAAAGAATCGTGCTCCAGGTGAGGCCCAATCGATAGGAGCATACGTAAAACACATGGGATTGGAGCCACTCCTGTTGCCTTCTGAGGCCTCCTGCTCCTGGGGCCTCTCGGGGCCTCCTGTTGCCTTCCGAGGCCTCCTGGCGCTTCCTGTTGCCTCCTGGGGCCTCCTGTGGTTTCCTGAGGCCTTCTGGAGCTTCCTGGGGCCTCCTGGAGCCTCTTGGGACATCCTGTAGCCTCTTGAGTCTTTCTGTGGCCTCCTGATGCCTCCTGGGACCTCATGTGGTCTCCTGGGGCCTCCTGGAGCCTGTGGGAGCCTCCTGTGGCATCCTGAGAAGAATCTGCGCCCACGAGCCTGGCCACCAAAACAAGCAAACCGCTCGAGACATCCTCAAAATCTGGCCCACCTGGGAGGTCAAAATGAGCGCCTCGCTCGAGACATCCTCCAAATCTGCTCCGAAAGCGAAAGATGCTGGCACAGAAAACAAGCAAACCGCTCGAGACATCCCCACAAAATTCCGCGAACGGGACCCCGTGAAATACCCCCCCGCCGCCCCCCTTAGAGTGCTGAGACGAGCGAATCGCCTGAGACATCCTCCAAATCTGCTCCGAAAACGAAACATGTTGGATCAGAAAATGGCCAAACCGCCTGAGACATCCCCACAAAATTCCGCGAACGGGACCCCGTGAAATACCCCCCCGCCGCCCCCCTTAGATTGCTGAGACGAGCGAATCGCCTGAGTCTGAGTGATGACTGAGTCTGAGTGATGAGAGAGCATGAGTGAGTCTAAGTGATGAGTGAATCTGAGTGGTGAGTCTGAGTGATGAGTGGTGAGTGATGGGTGTGGTGTTCTGTCCTGTTCTGTGTCCTTCCGGCGCGGTCCGCCAATAACAAGAACCCCATCTTTGGATATGGGGAAAAAACCCGAGGCCGAAAACGGCCAACATTCGCCCATCGTGTCACGACGCGAGCACGTCCGGACCCTTCGCCTCCCGCCTCCCGCCCACCCCACACACCTGGGGCCCGCTGCCCGCAACGACGCCCGCCACGTCCTCTGGCACCAGGAAGCAGCACGGCACGCGGTCGGCGTCCATGGCGAGGCCGCGCCGACGTTGGGCGAAGGAAGGGCCTGCCTTCTTCTTCCTCCTCCTCCTCCTCCTCCTCCTGCTCACCCGCCTCCTCCTTCTCCTCCTCCTCCTCCTCCTC